CAACGAATTAGTAAGCTGAAGTGGCAGTGGCCGGCCATATAGCTCGAAGAACCGACAACCGATGGGGAAGAAAGGTTCTCGAGTGGCAGCCTCGTACCGGTAGGCGAAGTGTAGGGCGTCCCCCCACGAGATGGAGTGACGACCTGGTAAGACATGCAGGAAGTCGATGGATGCAGGTGGCTCAGGACCGTGCTTTGTGGCATTCTTTGGGGGAGGCCTATGTTCAGCAGTGGACTTGTGAAGGGCTGTAATGATGATGATGATGATTAAATATTGGGATATCGATAGGTGGCAATCTCGGCGCATCGTATGAGCGTACTTGAACTGCAGGCTTCACGTCACGCTGAGATACAGGTTGGAGCCGCCTGGCAGCTCGCTTCACGTGACATAATAAATCCTCATAATCGTAATCAATTTGCAATTCAAAACTATTAATTTTATCCAACACACTTTCAAAATCTGAACGCAACGATTCTATAGTTCCTATTTCAAACAAAAATGTTTCCTGAACGGATTCTAAATGAATATTTTTTGCATGATCACAAATATTCTGCATACGAGAAAACAACGTCTCTCTTAGCGTAAAGGGCCTTAAGTCGCATTTCGTTCGCATTTACTGCCATTTTACAGCACAATAACTAATATCAAACTAATTAAGAACAAAGGGGTGGAGTACGGAAAAAACTGCGTACTTACCTATGTACAAGTAAATAACCTTTACCAGGCAGTAAGAATCTATACCAAAACAACAATAAATCAAGTAATGTTTCGCAAGTAAAGCGTTACTGACCCACGAAATAATAACCTTAATTATCGTTCCACGAAATAATAATATATAGGTTCGCAAATAAACTTCCTATGCAGGTATGTACTAAAAAATGGGAGAAATTGTAACAAAAGGCGCGGCCGCTTGCACATTGTTGCTTAAACGGGGCAATGACAAAAATATCCAACCGAACGAAACGATTTATACGTAAACAAGTAAAATAATTCTGAGGGACGAATTTTTACTATGAGGGACGCGGGCGGTTATTTGTAGTATGAAATAATAACAACCAAATCAAATATTTATGTGGGAATGCACTAGCATATAGATATATTCTAAATTGCGACATAAATACGATATAAGTAAATAGACACCTATTGTGAGGACAAACTAAATAAATAGGCGTTTATGTACTTAATGTATTGTGAGTGCGGTTACTAATAAAAGGGAATATATTACGTTCTTTAGCGATATGAACAACCTAGTAGTGCGGAACGAAATTAAGATCTACCTAGGTATTAGGCGTGACTAAACCAATTATATTGTCCAAATTATAATTGAACAATTATTAACAACGATTCGACTAATAAATCCGGCTCGAATGGTACCAAAAATACGAGGGTGGATTGGAAAGTACTCGGCCTAACACAGATCCATTCAATTCTAAAAATCAAATCTAACCACATTATTTAGTTCAGTTCAGACTAAGTCATTGTGTGAAGTTCGAAACGTGTGCGATAATTAGTTGTGATTTTATAAATTTATTAACAAAGTAATCGGACATAATTTCCGCGAATGGAGCAAATCGAGCAGCGTTCCGTCATTAAGTACCTCCATAAGAAGGGGCTATCATCAAAAGCCATCCATGATGACATGGTCAGTACATTAGGCGATTGTGCTCTGTCATATTCATCCGTCAAAAAATGGATGGCAGAATTTAAGCGTGGTAGAGAGAGTGTGAAAGATGAACCCCGCTCTGGAAGGCCTTCGACGTCAACTACTGACGAAAATATTAAAAAAAGTACTTGATTTAATAATGGGAGACCGCAGATTAAAAATTAGAGAGATAGCCGAGATTATAGGCATCTCTTATGAACGAACTCAAAACATCATTGTCAACGAGTTGGGTTTCCACAAGGTGTCTGCGAGGTGGGTTCTGCGACTGCTTTCAGTTGAACAAAAAAGGACGCGATTAACTATTTCACGCGACTGTTTGGAGTTATTTGAAGCCGATGTAGATGATTTTTTGAATCGTTTTGTTACTATGGACGAAACATGGGTTCATTACTGTACACCGGAAACAAAACAACAATCAAAACAGTGGAGAAGACCTGGTTCACCACCCCCTAAAAAGGCTAAGTCGATTTTGTCGGCAAATAAGGTGATGGCTTCAGTATTCTGGGACTCGAAAGGTGTGATTATGATTAATTATCTTGAAAGGGGTCAGAATATAAACTCTGATTACTACTGCACCTTACTACGTCGTTTACGAGAGGAAATAAAAGAAAAACGTCGAGGAATGCTCAGAAGAAAAGTCCTGTTTCATCAAGATAACGCCCGTGTTCACACGTCAGTACAGTCAATGGCTGAAATTTACAACTGTGGCTTTGAACTGTTACCGCATCCGCCGTATTCACCTGATCTGGCACCATCAGACTTCTTTCTGTTCCCTAACCTAAAAAAGCACTTGGGAGGTCAAAGATTTTCGACAAACGACGAGGTCAAAGCAGCTGTAGACGCATATTTTGACTCTAAGGAAGAATCATTTTTTTTTTCAACGGTCTAAATGCTTGGAAGGGGAGGTGGCAAAAGTGTATTGAACTTGATGGTGATTATGTAGAAAAATAAAAATATAACTGATTTAGTATTTGTTTATTTTCTTGGTTAGGCCGAGTACTTTTCAATCCACCCTCGTATAATGGTTTAGCAGTGGATTGCGATTCGAAGGACCATGCGGTTATGATTGTGTAGCGTGGTTCTGGGATCCAAAACAAAATGGCGGAGAGCGCCGCGTGTGTACTATATACTTTAGACAATAGACCTTGCGTAAAGTTGATTAGATTCATTGGCTGGCACGAAGGGAAGATGAGCTGCTGCGGAATAAGGATCAATAAATAAAACAGCTCACAATAAAAGGAATGGACAGCACAATACATTGACAATGGGCGGCGTATCTCGTGTCTTTGACTGCTGCTGGGCGCACGATGAATTGTGATGATACTTGAACTCTTCCCGTTAAATTCGTATGCACCAAAGTAACTTCCAGCGATTAAATTGCGGTTTTTAGACAACTATATTGTCGGACGCGACCGTCCGACACGGCGGTCTAATTCACTCTCGGTATGTGCAGGATAATAGGGAGGTGAGAGAAGGAAGTTTTGCCAGCCAAACATTTACTAATACCCTCTAAACTCACAAAATACAAAACGTATGCGGTGGCGCAACCACGTGTATTAAATATAGAATATTTAATACGTACTTAACTTCAACAAATATTATAGCAAAAATAATATAAAAACAATCTAAAATTGATAAATAAAGTTTTAAATGGAATCAAAATCACACAGGTTAAGCGAAGTTAACAGCGAAGTTACCTCTTAAGTATTTTTTCCTTGTTCTTTTCAGCTCAAATTTAACATTCTTCTGGACGAAGCTTGCAACCGCTTCTTTCCTTTTTAAAGAGAATAGACCTGCCGTTTCTTGAATTTTGGTCTTTGGTGATGATATAAAAAATCCACAATTTATTTTCCTCCTTCTTCGTTAGTGGTCTTAATAGTAATATTACATTTTGTTTCAAATTTTCAGACGACTTCTGTAAAATAATTATTGTGGCCTCTTCTCTTTCGTCACATCCGGTATTGCGTCCCTTCCGTTATAACATTATTTAATTTATTAATATTTATTTCCATCTTTTAACTTGGCCCCGCGGTGCGCATGCATTATCGCAGCGCACCGCCTGGCAGGGTCGCCATGTGATGTTGGAAGGTGCTGAATGTAGGAGACGTGTTGTTGATACTAAATCTTTAATTATACTGTTTAAGCTTATTCTAACTTAACACACACACACACGCACACACACACACACACACACACACACACACACACACACACACACACACACACATATATATATATATATTGTTCGCGCCCAAACGCTGGTTTCAAGATTCAAGAGAAGACGCCGGAGGGCGCTCGGCTCGATGCGGTGCGTTCATAACCGGTTAGACGAGTGGACGGTTGGCGGGAGTTAGTTGCTACCGGCGCTGGGTTGAGTCAGCAGTAGCTCGCTGGCAGCGGTACAGTTAATTAGTATACCTCGGTTGCCGCTGCCGAAGTTTCGCGCGACCGATTTTGGGGTTACGGTCTAGATTTTAGAATTTGTGCGTGTGACTTCGCTACGTAATTGTGATTTCGTGTAAACCGGTTCCGGTTAGTTTGTCTAGGTTTTAAGTTCTTGAAAAGAGGCTTATATTGTATTTGACTGATTAAAGTAATTTCGTTGGAAAGTAATTGCTCCAATTATATAGTGATTGCGCGTTGAAGTGCATTTTACAATATTTAACTTGCTTGGGTGACGTGGAATTTGACCGCATGTAAATCAAATCATTGTTAAACTGTGCCGTCGCGTTAAGAGCCTTTTGTGTATTGAAGCGGTAGCTAGTTTACGTGTCAGCAAGGTTAATTTTGAATTCTTATTGCGGCGCGGTGTTTAATAACGAACGAAGGAACTTAGTTGTGTTTGTAACGCTGAACTGTGTGGCTCATGAAGAGATCGCGTTAGTTCCCTATTTGTAATTTGGTGATAAATGAATCTGGGACATTGAATGTTGAACTTTGAACTACTGTCTGTTGCTTGTGTCGGGTATCACGCAGGGGCAGCTGTGGGCCGTAACATATATATATATATATATATATATATATATATATATATATATATATATACATATATATATGTATGTGTATATATATATATATATATATTGTGGGGGCTACAATACAGTGTAATATCTATTAGCCACAATATACACTTAGGTACTATTATTAGTAACGCGTATATAGTCCATATGCGCATTACTCATCCTTACTTTATTTAAAATTAAGCTCATGTTGGAACTTACCGCTATGACGAGTGTTCATCAAATAGGAAACGATTAAACAGGCCATCTGTGTGTGAAATAGAAAACACCATGATAAAATTGAATTTGTTGATTTCATGATTTGTTTTTTGTTTCAGATTCAGGATGTGGGTTTTCGAAAACTGCTGCTTCTGCATAGATCTAAGGACGGGATGTTTTATAATCGCTTATCTACAAATGGTAAGTTTAAGACGCGATCGATCGTCGTTGATCGACACGATAAAATGACAAACGTTTGGTCAGCATGATTAGTCTGGCGATACTAATCACGCTGCCTAAACGGCCCACGCGTTTACATTATTGAAGTAAGTATGTACAGTCTGTTCACTAAAATAGTGTCGGTACACCCGTAGGCGCATTTATTACTTTACAAAAGCAAAGTCCCCGTGTAGTGGCGGGAAAGAATACTCACTACCCCATGTCTTCCCGTGGGTGTCGTAAGAGGCGACAGAGGGAAACTGAGGCAGAGGATGGGCAGCAGCATCTTTCTGATAATAGCAAAACAGCACTAAAAAACTGCGGTTGCCAACCCGCTCGCCAAGAGTGGCAACTATGGCAATATACCCCCCATGAGAGTAACGAAGAGACGGCCCCTAGTCTCCGGCGGACCCGCTATTCCTGGCTACGGTGGCGACCATGGTAACGGCGGGGTAGGGGGTGCTAAGAATCTCCGGTGGAGGTTCGGCTACCACCTATGACGACTTCACCTGGCAACTTATAACACACGCACCCTGAGGACTGACGAGAAGATCCTGGAGCTGGAAGAAGAGATAGACAAGTTGCGCTGGAATATCATAGGATTATCTAAGGTCCGAAGAGAAGGGGAGGACACGGTAATCCTCGAATCCGGCGACTTGTTCTATCACGGGGTGGGCGACCATCTGTCCCAACTCCCAAGGAGGTGTCGGATTTATCGTCCACAAGTCTCTCGTTAACAACGTTGTAAAGATTGGGAGTGTGTCGACGAGGGTTGCGTACCTTATACTCAGAATCACCAAACGGTATTCGCTGAAGGTCATACAGGTTTACGCACCAACCTCGGCAAACCCCGATGAGGAAGTGGAGGAAATGTATGAGGATATCCCTAGAGCCATGCATTCCTCCTATACCCACTATTCGGTGTTAATGGGAGACTTCAACGCAAAACTAGGCACAAGTGAGAACGTTGAGTTGATAGTAGGGAAATTCGGAATAGGGCAACGGAACCCAAGGGGCCAGCAGGCCGGCTTCGTGGAGAAAGAGGGATTCTTTATGATGAACTCTTTCTTCCAGAAGCGGCCCCACTGGAAGTGGACCTCGTCGAGACCCGACGGTTCGACAAAAAATGAGATTGATTTCATTATGACGACCAGATGACAACTGTTCAGTGATGTCTCAGTGATCGCGAGGATAAAAACCGGCAGCGATCACTGAATGGCGAGAGGCACACTGAACCTAAACGTTAAGTTGGAGAGGTCACTTCTAATAAAGTCTAATGAAGTCAACGCTCCGTCCCCCTCGTGCTAATCAAAAGTCCCGAAACCTTTTAGCTCGAGCTACGAAACCGTTTTCAGTGCCTAGAAGATTGCAATGCAGTGGACAATATGAATGACAAGCTCGTGGAAACTGTCCATGCGGTCGGAGCTAAGTTTTGCATGACCCGCCACATAAGAACACAAAAACTCTCCGATCACACTCTTAATCTCATGGCTGTTAGACGGGATATGAAGCTGCAGTCTTCAGTAGATTTGACAGCCTATAGGCAACTAAACAGACAGATCTCCAAATGCATGCGGCGGGGCTTACGCAACTTTAATACTGCTCGTATTGAAGCAGCGATCGAGCGGAACCAGGGCTCCAAAGTCTTTGCTAGAGATCTGTCTGCCAGAAAGAGCCAACTGTCGAAGCTGAAGACCGAATGTGGCAGCGTCTTTTCGGGACACCTGAGATTTTGAGTGAGATTGAGAGGTTCTATGGGCAGCTGTACACATCATCGTTGGAGCCACACGCAAGTGTGACTAACAATCCAAGAGCGAGTCTTATCCGACATTATTCCGATGATATCCCGGACGTCAGTCTGAGCGAGATCAGAATGGCTCTCCAGCACCTTAAAAATGGCAAGGCCCCGGGCGAGGATGGAATTACAGCGGAGCTTCTGAAAGCAGGTGGAAAACCGGTACTTGAAGTCCTTCAGAAGCTCTTTAATTCCGTCCTCCATGGTGGCATTACACTGGAGGCGTGGAGCAGAAGTGCGCTGGTCTTGTTCTTCAAGAAAGGCGACAACGCTCTCTTGAAGAACTACAGACCGATAACTCTTCTGAGCCGCGTTTGTCTATCAAGAAACATGTTTTCGAGAGGCGTTACGAATCGTCTCGCGGGCAGATTTGACGACTTCCAGCCTACCGAACAAGCCGGTTTTCGAAAAGGCTTTAGCACTATAGACCACATACATACCCTTCGGCAAATTGTACAGAAGTCCGAGGAGTACAATTTGCCACTATGTCTGGTGTATGTGGACTATGAGAAAGCCTTTGATTCCGTCGAAATTTGGGCGGTGCTGCAGTCCCTTATAGCGGTGCCAAGTTGACTGACGGTATATCGAATTGTTGAAGTGCTAGTACAGTAGGGCTACGATGGCTATCCGAGTACAGAACCAGAGTACGAAACCTATCCAATTGCAGAGAGGTGTAAAATTGGGTGTCATATCCCTGAAACTCTTCACCGCTGCATTGGAAGACGTTTTCAAGCTTCTGGACTGGAAAGGATACGCTATTACCATCAATGACAAGTACATCACTCACCTTCGATTTGCCGACGATATAGTCCTTATGGCAGAATTGCTGGAGGACCTAAGCACTATGCTCAATGACCTCACTAGTGTTTCCCAACGGATAAGTCTTAAGATGAACATGGACAAAACAAAGATCATGTTTAATGTCCATGTCACACCTATGCCAATTGGGAGCACTAAGCTCGAAGTTGTTGACGGGTATGTTTACCTGTGACAAATAGTCCGACTAGGTAAGTCCAACTTCCTGGCGGAGGAGACAATATCTCGGGGTGGGGTGGTGCTGGCGGTGTCTTTAGACATCTCCAACGCCTTCAACACCCTACCCTGGAGTTGTATTCGGGAGGCACTGAATATCCATCGCGTGCCTCCCTACCTCCGCCGCATAATAGGGGCTTACCTTGAGGAGAGACGCGTTACCTATTGGGGACGAGACGGCGCAGGTCGGTGCGTCATGTCGTGCGGTGTTCCGCAGGGATCGGTCTTGGGACCGCTCCTGTGAAACATCGGCTACGACTGGGTGCTGAGAGGTGAACTCCCATCGGGCGCCGACTTGAATTGTTATGCGGACGACACGCTCGTCACTGCCCGGGGGAGTTCGCACAGGGAAGCAGCGTTGGTTGCCACAGCTGCGGTGTCACAAGTGGTGAACCGCATCCGGTGCCTGGGCCTGGAGGTGACCCTTAACAAGTCGGAGGCTATGGTGTTCCATGGCTCTCGAAGCGTGCCGCCGCTGGGTTCACACATCGTGGTCAGCGGGGCCCGGATAGCTGTCGAGTCCACCATGAAGTATCTGGGATTGGTGCTCGACAGCCGATGGGAATTCGGACCCCACTTCCGGCGGCTGGCGCCCAAGCAGGTGCAGCGGGCGCGCTATCAACGTTGCTTCCCAACTTGGGGGGCCCGAGCGACGCCTGTAGGCGGTTGTACGTGGGAATCGTGCGGTCCATGGCCCTGTATGGGGCCCCTGTGTGGGCGATGGACATGACGGCCAGCACTCTCGCCATTCTGCGCAAACCGCAGAGGGCGATGGCCGTCAGAGTCGTCCGCGGGTATCGCACGATTTCCTACGAGGCGGCTTGCGTCCTGGCTGGATCCCCTCCCTGGGACCTAGAGGCGAAAGTACTCGCGTCATTATATCGATGGTGCGAGGAAGAGCAGGCACGGGGCTCGAGGCCGGTGCAGCGGCAGATCACGCTGCGTCGAGAGGAGCTCCGTCAGGTCTTGGTGGCGGAATGGCGGCAAAGGCTTCTGTGCCCTACCGCCAGCCTCGCTACCGTCGAGGCGATCCGTACAGTACTCGACGACTGGCTCGGGAGAAGGCACGGCTCCCTGTCGTTTAGGGTGACGCAAGTGCTGTCGGGGCATGGCTGCTTCGGCAAGTACCTGTGCCGCATAGACAGGGAGCCGGACGCTCGGTGCCACCACTGCGTCCATTGCGGGGAGGACACGGCGCAACACACGCTCGCCGAGTGTGTAGCTTGGGAGGAGCAGCGCCATGTCCTCACAAATAAAGTAGAAAGTTAAATAAAGCTTCTAACATTTTAAAGTGTACTTTTTACTCGGTCAATTTTATTAAAAATATCGTTATACCGTGTTGATATGTTTATTTTCGTCATTTACTCAGTTCAGCCGCTAGAATACAATGGAAATGTAGATTATGGGTAGCAGCGTAACTTGATTATACCTACTTAATTACATGTTGCTGATTGCTAACTAACTCGCAAGCCAAGCGTTGTGATTATGTCAATAAAACATCACCTTATCGGGTATATTCCATTCTAAATAGAAAAAAGAACACTATATACAAACCATGACAATAAGAAAATTAAATTAAGCATTATGGAAAGACTTGGATAGTATTTCATTTTCATTTCCTGTAAGTTTTACTCAATGTGAAACTTCAAAAACACAACTGTGGGTAGGTACAGCCTGTTTCGAAAGGCAGGGTTCGTGTTATCACTCCGTTTCTAGACCTAATTCTAGAAACATTTATTTAGAAGAAATAACTTTTTAAAGCAACGATTCTTTTAAATTTTCAATAATTAAAATAAAAAATATTTTTCTAACAAATATAATATTAATAACTAGCTGGTACGAGGCGCGTTGCTGCCGCAGAAGAAATAATTGTGGAAATATCGTTTTAAATTTGTAAGAGTTACATTGTTTAATTGGGAATAATAATAAGTCTCTCAGTTAACTCAGAGTAATTTACTTATGTTGGTATACTACTTATGTTGGCTACTACGTGGTAGAGCCATGCTGCAGCTATTATATGGTTGTAGCACGAATGGGTCGGCTCGAACGGGGAAGGACCACGCACTCACAGAAAACCAGCGTAAAATAGCAGCTTAATGCTGCTGTGTTTCGTATGGTGAGTGTAGAGAACCGGAGATCCTTTTTACTGGCAAAAAGGCATTCCATCTTAGTCCTCACGGGTGACAACGCATCTGCATCTTGAGTCTTTATTGAGGATAGATGTAGATGTCTATGGGTCACAGTAACCACTTACCATCAGGTGGACTGTGTGCTCGTTTGTCACCCGATCCTATAAAAAAAAATGTAATTAGGTACTCTAAACTGTCGGTACAATATTATGTAGAGTCAAAATTATGGTTAAACTTTTTGTTGACAAAGTTATCAAGTATCTATATCTAGTTTTGTATTAGTGATCGAAGACTAAACATTAAATTAATCAATTGTTTATGTCAAAAATTGAGAGATTATGCTGGCTTCCTAATAAATGAATTAAAGAAAATACAACATTCGTCCCTTGGGTGTCGTAAGAGGTGACTGGACGACTAGGTAAAAGAAATGCCAAAAAAATCTTGTAGCGTCCGATAGACGAGACGGCGGTATAAACATTTCGTTTACGCACACGTTAAATACCAAGACCGAAGAATCATAATGTAGATGCGTTGTTATCCCTGAGGACTAAGATGGAATGCCTCGTTTCCAGTAAAAAAGTTCTCCGGTTCTCTACACTCGCCATATGAAACACAACAGCGTTAAATGCTATTTTACGCTGGTATTCTGTGAGGGCGTGGTTCTTCCCCGGTCAAGCCGACGCATTCGTGTTACAACCATGATAAAGCTACCACGTCAAAAGTAAAGCGCTAGTATCACTCTACTGATACTGACAATCCGGTTGCCAAGCATGGTGAGTAAGACAAATCCTCCCTATAACAGACCAGAACCTTGTCTAATAGTGGAATTTCATGGGCTTATGTTGCAATAATGTCCTCTAGACCGGTCACGACATACAGTCTTAAGGGAGACTAGCCATCTGCGTAGGTCAGGATTTTAGTGCCTGATTCCCTCACTCTCACAGTCCGCGGCACAGTAATCCGACACAATCGGAGAGAGATCAGGCGCAGGTGCAACAGATTTACTTACGTGCTTTCCGAGGCCCGGTGTTATAATACCGCTAAGTTCCAGACTCTCTGTTGCTACTGTATACTGTATTGAAAGAAAATCTCCATTACTGATGTTTTTTGACCCGACCCTATTCGAATCCGGGGTCTCAAGGTCAGCAGCCGCATTTATAATCACTAAACCAACGACGCGGTCACTGAATGCCTTATACTGTTGACTGCTTATGTTGTACTTACCTACATACATCCAGACAGAAAAAGAGCTACTTACTAAATTACCTTTTACAAACTACTAAAATAGTCAGACGCACGACTATATACAAAGTTACAATCTATATAAGTCCCACTACTGGGCACAGACCCCTCATTTGTGAGAGGGATTTGGGGCAAGGGAATGTCCTCCGCGCTGCCTCAATGCTTGTTGGCGAACTTCACATCTCTTCGAAATATTTTTTCTTATTTCTCAGACGTGCAGGTTTCCTCACGGCGTTTTCTTTCAGCGCCCAGCACGTGGTAAATCAGCACTTAAAATTGCAATTAACAATTTCGTTGGTGCCGGCGGGGTTAGAACCCGGGTTGCTCGCGTACTGTGAAATTTACAGTGAGCACTAACCATCTGAGCTACCACGGCTCTCTCTGAATATATATACATATATAGGTAATTAAATGAAAAATTTATTTTATAATCACTCAACAGGTGGGCGAGATTATCATCACCACTATGTCGTTCCTTGGCATTGGAACTGCGCAAGTGTTGATAAACAGCTCTGATCCGGACAATAGAGCGATTGGTCTCGCTCTCATGGTTGTCTGCGTGATAACCTTACTCTTCGTTGTTGTATTTTTGGCCTTCACGATCGTCTTATTGGTCGGACTCCATAAGGTAACGTATTATCGTAATTTTTACCCTCTTTTTTGCGTTTCATTTTCTTTAATATTTTTTTTTACTTATTATTAACCAGTGACTGACCACAATCCCACCTGAATCAGGTGACCTGATGGTAAGTTGTGATGAAACCCGAGATGGTAAATCACACTGTCATCAGAACATGAGTCTATTCACTCTTGCCTTGTAGACACCTAGATTGTATTCAAACGGAAAGACGCCGGCAAATTATTCCATTCCTTTGCCTTACAAAAAATTAAAGCAAACCGATAAAAATGGTTTTGATACGTGAATGTTTGATACGTTAATGTGGAGACGAGATATTTTATTCTATAATAAAAAAAAATTGGTTTCAGAACAAGCCGGGCCATGTCAAGCTATTCCTGATCTATTCCGTTGTATTCATGGTGTTTTACATCGTGAGTGTGATAGTTAATATAGCTATGACTGGACCACCAGCCCTGAACATTGTGTCGAGTGTGTTTTATATACGTAAGTATTTTATATGGAATCTACGGCGTATGCTTAGTCCCTAAACAAGGTTCAATCCCAGCAGATACCAAAGAAATTGTTCAACTTAATTTTAAGTACTGATTTACGTGCGGGAGGTGGGGTGGGGGGAGGGGTCTGAGGTGTTTGAGGATGTCTGTCAAAGTTATGATGACATCAGCTCATAGTTAAAGAAGGCTACCCTCAACTTTTAATTATAATATTTTGGTTCGATCTATTCAGAACGAGCTTAGGTACAGTATCTGGAAGTCTTGTAAGTAGTATGCTTGGGTTTGGATTTAATTTTATTAATTATTGGATCCCAAGCAGATGGTAGCACCCAGCCATCTTCTCTATTGAAATTAGGACGTTTTTTTATTTCAATAGCCTCGCGAATCATCCGTGGTAGGAGTCGGTGTTCTTTTGAAAGGTTTTGTGGTCTATCAAATCTGATATAATTATTGGGACGATCCCGAACATGTTGATATACTATGCCTTCCTCTAAGTGCCCGAAATGTCGGGAATTAAAAAAGTTTTTACTGGAAACGAGGCATTCTATCTTAGTCCTCAGGGGTAATAAGTAATAACGCATCTGCATTTTGATTCTTAATCGAGTAGATGTCTCTAGGTCATAGCATCCACTTACCATCTGGTTGACTTTGTGCTCGTTCATCACCCTTTATTCTATAAGAAAAAGTGGTACTCCACTTCATGCCACTCTCCCAACATCCAACTGCCAACTGGCCGTTTGTGAGACGTGTGTGAGAGTTGGCGTAACAGAACCAATTACCCCATGGGCGATGCAAAAGCTGACAGAGGGAAACCGGAACGGCAGATGGGTAGCAGCATTTTTCAACTTAGTAATAAAAAAAACTGCGGTTGCTACCACTCCTGCCACGCGTTGCAACCATAGCAAACATCCCCTTATCTTTTTAGGCGAATTTTACGCTGTAATGATGATGATGATGATTACTATTTAAAGTAGACTGATTATCAGGTAGTCAAAGAATCTAGTCAAGTTAACGGGAGCGGTGGAGGCGTTTTTAAAAACTAAAATAAAACTAAGAGATGTCCGTACAGAAGCTCATGTACTTCAACAATGGCAAACTTATTCTAATACATCTTTCATGCAGACTCTATTACATTTGCTTACTCAAGTGACACGATATAGGCCACACACAGGGTGCAAAGTCAGCAATAGTATTTATGCACGTACTTGTATCACTCTGTGTGGGGTCGAATCCATGACTCTTCCCTCCTCAAGAGCGAAATTATCGGCATTTTCAGGAATCCGATGATTTCGCTTAATTACACACAGTTTATGTCTAATTATAATAAAAATACAGAAAATAATTGGTAGAATTACATACAAAATTATCGTTCCTAAACTCACACTTTTAACATTAATAGCACTTGCATTTTCACTGAGATTTATTTTGTTAAGTTTTACTAGTTGAAGTAATTGTTTAGTTTCGTCTAGATTTATACCTTTTAAACTCACTTCACTGACAATGGGAGGCTTCGAAATCTTCAGTTCTGGCAAGTTAGTCATTGGGTAAATTCGGTAATTTAGGTCATCTGAAGAAGATTGGTGGTATTTAAAATGAATATTTCCAATTTCGGCTTCACAGAAATCGTCTACGGTGATTATGTAAGTACTACATAAAAGTTCATGAGTGACGTCATTGTCGCACTTTCTGGTAACTATTCTATGATTTCTCACGTACAGTATCCAGCTTTCGTGGCTTATTCGTTGAATTTTGGGATCTTCAATGTCCACAGTATGCTGTTCACAGGCATCGAGGTTTGATTGAAACTCCATGAGCTGTTCCACGCAGCTTTGTTCTGTATGCAGCAGCACATCGTCGGTATTGCACAGGAATTGATTATCCAAAGCAATTTGTTTGCAGGCTCTCGGGACTGGCAAGTATTCCTTTTCTTTCACCAATAGGTATGGGTATTTGGGAATAACTATAATAGTTTTGTTTGCAATAGCAATTGGCAATGAATACATTTTGAAGTAACTATATGTTTTATTCCCTACTAAAGGGACCTCTAAGATAAACGTGATCTGGTTTCCTTTTATAAAAGCCTTAACCTTAATACAATTTTCTAGTATAACTAAGTTATTTTCATTTACAGGATATAATAGATTTTCAGTTGTCGCGATCGATTGTAATAAATTTAACAATTCCGTAGAGTTAAAAATTGCTTGATGCAGAACAGATACCTTACTGAATGCTAGTGCAGTTTCGATTTCTCCTAGTATTACGTTAATAGTTCTAAAATAACTCAAAAACATGTCAAACATACCTAGGACATAGGTAGAATAAATGGAGTTTTCTTCTTTTGTAATTAGGAATTTAACAATTCTTTCAATTCTCTTCATCTAATATTAAAGTATTGTTATGTAAGGTCTCTGTACTGTTGATGAAATTATCCAAGATTTTGGAGACTAATGTAATTCTCTTATCCGACATTATCTGATTATCGTTTAGTTTAGAAATCAATGAGTCATATCGGACGGCATCATCATGATCCAAATTTCCAGTTACTATTTTTATCATAGACCCAAGCGGGTCAATAATGCCTCTTTTAAATCTTTTCGATGGCACAAGTTGCCGAAATTTTTCTATAGTTGCATCTCTTAAATACCCTACATGTGTTCGAATAGCTAAAAATTCATGAATATATGGTTTATTAACATCTATCAACGCAACGAATTCGTCATACTTTAATATACTAAAATCTAAATCACTACCTATACCTTCTAAGTTTAAAGTTTTAATAATAAGCCAATTGTCTATTTGCAATGAGGCACGACCCAGTTTGACAGGCAGGATTCCTGGGTTTATAATTGTGGAGTGGAATCTCTCTATTATGCCTGTTGAATTCGGGTTATTAGGAGTGGTAATGTGTAGTATAGTATGTGTAGCATAGTCATGAGTTCCTTAATGAGATCATTATTAAACTCACTACCGAGATCAGAAGTTATTTTTTTAGGTGTTCCGTATATTGAAAAATATTTAATAAGCCCTCTTACGATTTCCGGTGCGGATCTATTTGGGATTTTGATAGCTTGTCCTAATTTACTAAATGCGTCAACCAAAGTTAGGTAATAAACGGATTCAATTGAAAAAAGGTCCATGAAAACTTCTTGGAAGGGGGCGTTTTGGGTTTGAGTTAATTGAAGTAATGGTTTAATGGGTTTTCTTTCATATTTCATTTTTCTACAGGCATCACAAACATTAAGTACTGCAGCAATCGTCTCTTGCATGTTCTGCCAATAATAATTTCTTTTAATTCTACCCATTGTTTCCTTTATTCCTCTGTGACACGTCTTTCCCTCATGATGTTGCAGTATGATTTCTTTTTGTTCTTTCTCGTCTTCTACATATATAACACGCTCTGTACATTCAATAAATTCTACCATTCCCTTTTTAAATAGCTGTATAAAATTTTAGAGAATTCTTTTCTATGTTGAATGTTTTCGAAGTAAATAAAATATTTAGTCTTGGGCTTAATGTACTCTTTTAAGAAATTTTTAATAAGATCTTCATTCTTAAGTGGGGCAAAAACTTCGAGAACCTTTTGTTTATCCCTGGATAAATTTCTTACTTGTACTTCATTTTTATGCCAGGTATAAACTAAAATTTGGTTTGGTTTTGAGTCAATGGCCTCCTTTAATATCGGAATACCGTTAGATTCTAGATCTTGTCCAGAATGCACAGTTACTATACTACTATCAGAGGATATAAGTGGTAACGTGTATTTCGTGTTAGTCTCTAACTGGTCGACGGATACAGTGGCGGATGTGTCAGTTATAGTTATTGTCCTAGAGTCGTCCCTGTTTTCAGTCGTTAAGTCCACAATTTGGTCGGTTAATTCTGTCAGATATTTTTGCAGTTTTTGTTCTTTAGGGTCCAGGTTTACTTCCAATGATTGTGAGTCATCAGAGTCTATGGCATTTAGTTTTATCCGAGAGAGGGCATCAGCATTACTATTTTGTTTTCCGTTTTTGTATACAATATCGAAGTCGTACTCTTGAAGACGTAAACGCCAACGGGTCAGTTTACTGTTCGGTTCTTTAAGTGAGTAAAGCCAAACTAGTGGTCTATGGTCAGTATATATGGTGAACTTACGCCCGTAAAGGTATGGTCTAAAATGTTTTACAGCCCATATTATGGCGAGTAGTTCACGCTCTATTGTACTATATCTGGTCTCAGTGTCGCTGAGAGTTCTACTGGCATAGGCAATGGGCTTATCGGATCCTATTGTCCCCTGCGATAGGACCGCACCTAAAGCAACAGTAGAAGCATCTGTAGTTAAAACATAAGGTTTGTCTGGATCTGGGTATTGGAGTAAAGGTGCATTAGTCAGAAGCTCCTTACACTTCTGAAACGCATCAATATATTTTTGATCTATTACAATTTTATTTCTTTTCTTTAGGCATGCTGTAAGGGGCTGAGTGATTTTGGCGAAGTCTTTTACAAAGCGTCTGTAATAACCAATCAATCCTAGGAAACTCTTGATCTCGGTAGTCGTCCTTGGTAACGGGTAGCTTAATACAGCCTGAATCTTATCATCGTTTGGTTTAAGTCCGTCTTTAGTAATAACGTGCCCTAGGTATAGCACTTCTTTTCTCAAGAATTCTGATTTGTCAAGTTGTATTTTTAAATTAGTCGATCTCAATCTGTCAAAAACTGTCCTTAATTTTTGTAAATGCTCCTGGAGGCTACTCGAGAAAATAATTATGTCATCAAGATAGACAAGGCAATGAATTCCTTGTAAGCCTCTTAGGATGTTATCCATGGCTCTTTGGAAGGTGGCTGGAGCTGTCTTCAGGCCAAAGGGCATTCGAAGGAATTCATAGTGTCCGTTCTCTGTGCTGAATGCCGTTTTTTGTCTATCTGATTCGTTGATCTCAATTTGGTGGTATCCACTAGCTAAGTCCAAGGTTGAAAAGTAAGTACTCTTACCTAGTTTGTCAAAAATGTCAGTGATATTGGGTAAAGGGTACTTATCGTCCACAGTTATGTCGTTTAGACGTCTGTAATCGATAACCATCCTATACTTCATTTCACCAGATGCGTCTCTCTTTTTGGGAACTAAATGGACTGGGGCTGACCAAGGCGAAAAGGATTCCTGAATCACATTATCATTTAATAATTTCTGTACCTGGTTTTTAATTTCCTGTGTTTGTGCGGGAGGTTGCCTGTAGGGTTTGACATAGATAGGGTCTTCGTTTTTTGTTCTAATATAGTGTTTCACCTCATTAGCAAAAGATAAAGGTATTTGATCGCTATAAAAAATATCTTTATATTCTCTACATAAGTGGTATATCGATTTTTGTTCTTCTTCCGACATGTGGTCTAAGCGTAGTTTCTCTAAATTTTGCTGTAATATTTTATCTACTTCAATATCTGACATATCTGTAATATGGTTAACTATACATTTAGTCGCTTTACTCTCTTCATATGCTTCTACATTCAATGGTTTTTTTATAGTTAATTTTATCGGTATATCTAAGGTATTCTGGATTACTGTAGTCGTATAACCATCCTTACATTTCACTAACGCACTAGGCATTCGCACACCCTTACAGAATTCTTTATAATCGATTACAGCATTACCTGAATATAAATTTGTTGGGAGTTTGACTCTTTGCTCGGAACGGGGAGATAACTCCAAAACGTAAGAAGATTTACTATGTGTTATAGGTATTACGGTAGTTTTAGTTTTAAGAATCTCGTTTTTTAAATCTATTACTGCTTCTAGGTTGCAAAGTATATCATTCCCAATTAAGCCATCGTACCTAGAGTCGACATTGTAAATGTATAGTTTATGAATATCGTTACAGTTGAAAATTGGTAAAGACGGGATTTGAATAACTTGATCATGTCTGCTCGATGCATGTGTGCTAATGACTTCGAATGGTCTTATGTACTCTGGAAAGTACTTATAAGCCTTTGATGGACTAATGAATGATCGCGTACTACCTGTATCAATCATAAATTTGGAGTCGATTTCCGGTATATAAATAAACGGCAATCTCAAATTAGTACTACAATTTAACTCTATTTTTTCGTAAGTTCCGAGGCTTCGACCTGAAAATCCTTGTCGTCCATATTGGTTGGGACGCTTTGTGTTACTTCAGGAATTATTGTCGGATATTGATTTTCATAATAATCGAGCTCGGGAACATTAAGGCCACTGCTTGAGTACTCCTCATAGCAGCAGTTATCATAAGAAAGTGGGTACACATCGCCGCACGCATCATCGTAATACGTATTATCAAGGTCGAGTTCATTTAACTGAAAGCCTTGTTGATTTGTTTTAAGTGGTGGTGCCGTTCGCATTGTGACGTCACTGGGCCCAGTGTATTGATTTTTATTTAACTGAGGCTTGTAACCAAATTGCTTGAGTACTTATAAAAGTTTTGTTGTTGGTTTCCAAATTGTTGTGGGCGCATACCGAATTGTTGTGGGCGCATACCGAATTGTTGAGGTTTATTAAATGTTTGTGGTTGCATCCCGAACTGTTGTGGACGCATATTAAACTGTTGCGGGCTTATACCAAATTGTTGCGGGCGGAAGCCGAATTGTTGGGGGCGGTATCCAAAATTTTGTTGATTATTATTAAATTGAGTTAGTTTTGATTGTGACCCCTGCGGAAGTCCAAAGTTAAATTTGTTAGGGGTTAATTCGGGTTTATAGCCCATAGGTGCCATTGAATTAAAATTATTTGTACCGAATTTAAACGTAGGATTATTATTTGGTATACTGGGTGGCGTTAGTTTATTACTAGGATTACTATACATTTTATTACGTAAGGTATACTGCTCATGGAAGTTGACTTCTTCCATGACCACGCTTAAAGCCTCTTCTAGTGTACTGGGCGCTTTTAAGCGAACAATTCGCACCATATTTTCTGGCAAATTATACAAAAAGACATTTAAAGATGTGTTATTATATATAATAATTTTGCTACTCTTTACATTCGGATCGGTTAATCTATTTACTTTCGATATTAAAACACTACGAACGGATTGGATCCTATTACAGAAATCTAAATATGACTCGTTGTTTCGGATACGCAAACCTTCAAGTTCTATAGCAATACATTCTTCACTCCTAGGGTCTCCAAAATGTTGAATTAGCAGTTCTCTAAAATCTTCCCATGAATTTATGTCCTCGCGCTCGCTAAAGAGCGCTGCAGCGTCGCCTACGAGTCTACTTGTTATCGCGTACATTACGTATAAATTTTGTTCATCGGATCCCCTATATTTATTTAATATATACTCACATTTGCGAATAAAAAGATTTAATTGGTGCTTATCACCGTTGAATATCGGTACAATTTTGAGCATTTCACTAGGAATCATCTTAATTTGCACTTGATCTTCCATTTTGTAGAACTTTATTTTATAAAATACGGCGATAAAATAATATAATTAATACAAGAATTCAAATTCACAATCAAAAACACAGTCAAAATAAAAGTAAAATAATTAATAAGTAAAATACAAAATATGAAATAAATAAGTCCTCAATAAAAATTTAATCAACGAACATACACTACAATTATAATTTGTAATAGTTATAATCGCTTTGTTCCTACAGTGCAAGCTCTTATCGCGTCGTTATTGCATGGACGCGCTTACTTATCTAGTTATTCCTAGTATTTCTTTATGCAGTTAGTTATTAAGTTTAAGTATTCTTAAATATAAGTTTCACAGATTTTTATGTAAAACCAGATAACGTTATATCGCAAGAGGTCTAATTGCAAAATAACAAAACTATATAATATGACAAGGAAAGGAAGGTGAAAATTTGGACTCACCAGCCGGCCTTCGTCATCTTCAGCTGCTCTCCACTTGACAAATTTATATTGGTTCGCAGGATCGCCTCGCGGCACGAACGCGGTAAACGATTTTATTCGAATTTATTTCGCGGACGGCGAAAGCAAATGGCGATCCTACCGGCTGCGCCAGTCAAGTTAACGGGAGCGGTGGAGGCGTTTTTAAAAACTAAAATAAAACTAAGAGATGTCCGTACAGAAGCTCATGTACTTCAACAATGGCAAACTTATTCTAATACATCTTTCATGCAGACTCTATTACATTTGCTTACTCAAGTGACACGATATAGGCCACACACAGGGTGCAAAGTCAGCAATAGTATTTATGCACGTACTTGTATCACTCTGTGTGGGGTCGAATCCATGACTATCTACATAATAATATATTGTTAGGAATGAGGGTAAAATAATAAAAGAAAATAAGAAATGTTGAAGGTAAAACTATAATCTCCCACTTGTTTTAGCAGTATAAAGTATTACGCAGTCGACTAAGAGGGATCAGTCAGTCTGTAATTCTACTAGTCTCATATCGTTATTATGCCCGTTGGGCTAAAACATTACCTCCACACGGAGATACGGTGTAGTAGTTCTTCTAGTGTAACAGGGAAGATCGTGTTGCTGAGAGGCTGCCCGGTGTTACATCAAGAGGAGTAGTGTAGCTGTTGCTTTGCATACTTTGGTGTTATCATGTAATTATGTCCTTCACGTTACACTAATGTGTGATTGTGTCTGGTACATATTACGGTTGGTTGAACTGTATTTGCTCTATACTGAACTGTACGCTGTCTTATTCCTGATAATGATCAATTGCGTAAGCAAGAGAGCAAGTTGAACATCCGCTCTCACACTTTTATTATTTTTAACAATCAACCTTCAGAGTAAATTCTAATACGAGTAACATAATTTTATTTAAATACTTTTGAGAATAATTTTTAACATCAGAAGTGTAATAGTTTCTAATAATATATAGATCACATTGACACATCGGGCCCCGAACCCGATTGGAATTCAAATACGCCTAGAAACTCTAGCTTAGAAAATATGATGTCTACAAGCTCGGTTACGAGTACAATCATCGATCACTAATAAAAAACTACGCTACTACTAGATACACAATACCATGCAAAAGTTCTCTAAAAACTGTCGCCAATTGTTTTGACGTAATTCTAGTTGAAATAAATTTACATTAATGTAAATTCAATCTTAAATGCATTGCATACAGTTGTATTCACAAAGCCACGTACAAATAAAAAACGTACCCAAATGTTCGAGTGGGCGCTCATTCTGTAAGGACATTTTTTGTCACTGATTGTGTATCTAGTCTTTTATTAGTGATCGATGGTTACAATGTAATAATGTTTGAACTATTTTATATAATACTATTCATTTGTTTTATTTCAGTTTTGGACATCTACTTTTTACTCGTCCTTCGAAGCTACTGGGTCAAGATGGGCAGCGGTAACGCCCTCTACGGGACTGCTTAGAAAACATCTACGTTTTCTCTTTCACATTATAAAGCTGTAATTTTACAAACGCAAATGTACACCGGTTTAAATGTCGCCATACAGTTTTAAAAATATTATAGATTTATTATCAAAGGGACAATATGGATAGCGGCAGCGCCGTCTTCCGGAGCACTTTAAAACTTCCAACGTTTTGTCTTTCCTATTACTGTATTTTACAAACACAAATGTACCGACGCCGATTTTCTTAAACGATTTTCTTAAATGTTGTCATAGAGTTTAAGGTATATTGTTAAGTGTATTAATAGCTTTTATATAAAAAGAACAAGAAAATTTTTAGCATTTTAAAAACTTACATTCTGTTGTTATAAAGCATTTAGTAATTATAAAGTAATCAACGTTTTGAAAAAAGGCCACGTACACATCAGTGCCATCTATTTAAAAATATTGGCAGTAAGAATTATGTCCGCCATATTTTAGGGAGTGTCTTTGTATATGCTTGAACGTTGCTTAAAAAGTCGTTCGAAAAAGAAGAAAAAATATCAGCAAATGTCATTATTTTGTAATTGTATTCAACTTTTTATAATAAAGTACAAGTTATATGTAAGTGCCATCTGTTTAAAAATATTGGTGGTAAAAAAAATATGGCTGCCATCTTTTAAAGAGCGTCTTTGTCTTTGTATTATACCTGAAAGTTGCACCTAGATATTGAAAAAAAAAGAAAAAAAAACATCAAGAAATGTCATTATTTTAACCAAAGAGATTAAACTTTAAAGTGAAAAGACGGGTCATTCAAAGTTATAATATTATACTCAATTTCATCTACACTGGTTAGCAAGAATGAGACCTTCTTAGTGATCTGGCAAGAGGCTGGGTTTCTTTAAGCCATGTATTAAGTACCGTGCCATAGATGAAAGAACATTTAAGTAGACCAAAAACAAAAACAGGCTTAATATCGATCCCTGTTGGACACGCCTTACTGTGGTGCCTTTTGCCTTTTTAATTACCGCCATGAACCGTCAGATACTGAATTTAATACTTCAAGTTTGTCTAGAAAAAACATTCTACTCAAAGTATAGATGTTATATAAATAAAATTCATAATGTAATGTCCTCCAGACCGAATTTCGGTAACGGAGGCCAGCCTCAACGGATACTATACAGTACATGTGCAGGACAGAATTTTGCTGAATTTCTAAAAGAATTTCTAGACAAATTCCGATCCTGATCGGGCTAATATCAGTTATAAGATTTTTCTGTCAAAAAATTATTTTAGATATTCAAACGTGGAACATCACGTTCTGCAATAGCGTTTACGATCCCATCTCCTGTTTGACTAATGAGGCAGACAAATATACTATGATAGTTGCTAAAAATCATATACATATATTTGTTGATAAAACTTGATTTATCTAAACTGCGCGGTGACGCCTTATTTTTGTATTATATGGACCTAGCTGTCTTATGTCAGTTGACACAACCTTGAATCTCAGTATACATATATCTAACCCAGTATGTATATCATGTACCTATATATACAGAACGAAATAATATCTCTACAAATAATTTAATGTCTCTGCGTTAAACGAAACGTTTTTTGACTTTTTGTACAAACCGAAAACTGTAAATGAAAAGGCTGTTAAAATATATTATATTCTTGCATTTGTATACATTTACATAATGCTAAGCTATATTAAGCTTACAAATTTGTAAGCAATTTTGTTACGTTTATCTTTATAAATATAATGGCATTATTTTCACTACCTTAAAGTTTGTTGTTTAAGATGTAATTTTACTATTTTATTAAAATGAACATTAAAAAAATTAAGTGGTATTATTCTTATCATTACCATTACAGCCTATCAAAAAGTCCACTGCTGAAAACAGGCCCCTCCCCACGGATTGTTCGGGGGGGGGGGGGGGGGGGGGGTATATTTGCCGTAGTAGCCAGGTTTGCCTAGCGCAGTTCGTTATTATTTTGAGCTGTTATTAGCACGATGCTGCTGCCCATCTGTTTGATTTTCTTCTGCCATTTAATTGAGTAGTTCGTTTTAAATATTTTTGCACTGACTTTGATTATTTCCACGTATCCAACTCTTTTTTTTCTTCTACTTGTCGTAATATCCGTAGTTTGGTTTATTCGTTTCTAATCTAATTACAATAAAATTTTACTATAACTAATATTACAGAAAGGAACATTAACTCTTACATTTTCCTAATAAATTGACTTTCCCGCCATGTAATTTGTCAAATATTTTACTTTGTAAGTAGCGCCGCCTTGGTTGCAAAAAAAATGGTAGATGAAAAAATTTGACGATTGAAAAATCATGCCTGAAGGTTTGTTTCTATTTATCGTATAAAATTCTTTACTAATTTATATTCAAACTTATAATATGCTCGTTCATTCATATTCGTTAATGTATGGGAACATAAGGTATATGACGCATATAATGTGTGTCGCATTATACAAAAGTTCAGAAATTCCATAAGTGTTATTAGACGTCGTTCGGGTAGAACAAGGGATTTGGTACGGCGGATCAAAGCCGCTGGTCATAACAGACGGCCGGATCTGACAGTCACCTTTTGTAGTGTTTTTTTTTATAGGATAAGGGTGACAAACGAGCACACAGTCCACCTGATGATAAGTGGTTGCTGTGGCCCATAGACATCTACATAGGTGTCTATGGGCCACAGCAACTACTTACCATCAGGTGGACTGTGTTCTCGTTTGTCACCCTATCCTATAAAAAAATTAAGTTCCCTTTGTCACCTCTTATGATACTATCAATATCTCTTACGATCTGTCGGAAAAAGTTATAATAAGTAAATGACAACTTTTTATAATAATAAACTTTATTAATATAATATTATTAGTATAACAATTTTATAAGAATTAATGATTGAAATGATTACAATAAAATATTAATTTTAATTAAGCTTATAACTTTGTATTTTGGGGGCGATTGCTTTGATAATGTTCTCGACACAGTACGGAGTATCTGAAAAAAAATAAAGATCAATCAAAATCAAAGATAAAAATATTATAGTAACGAGCATTCTGTTTATTTTCTTGCATAACTTTAAATCCTGTATATATAAGTATTATACCATTACATACACACGAGCTTACAATCCGCCCGATGTTATAATATCTAATATATATAACTCGTCACAGATCTTAGAATTGTAAAGTTAGCTGCGCTTGGTGCTGTGTATTACTTATATAAGATTACTAGCTGGCCAGGCAGACGTTGTTCTGCCCTTTTCAACGACCCTTCATATATCTTTAAATTCATAATAAAAAATATTGAGTGTCACTTATCAGGATAAAACTATCCTTTCTCTCAAGTTGGACCAACCTGTACAGAGTGTGCAAAATTTCATTGAAATCAGTTCAGTAGTTTAGGAGTTCATCGCGGACAAACAATGTGACACGTAATTTTTATATATAAAGATAATTTATTCCCCTTCAAAGATAGAAACAATTCTCATTGAAGTGACAACCTCTTTATGCGCCTTCGGAATTATTGGGTCGGGGAAAAAGGACTGCATTTGCGTGACCGTTATGCTCATATGCGGTTAAATGCAGATTTGATAATGTTTTGTTGTGACGGAGGTAGGTTAGTAGTCGAATGTATGCTAGCGTATTGTTTCAATCCATCTCCATAAAACACAAATGTTACATGGCGCTGTCGGTAGGATTCATCGCAAAAAGGGCATGAAATATAGTAGATAGTTAATAATATTCGGTTAAAGTGGAGAGCAGTGCAATATTCAAGGCAAAAAGAAAAATACGAGAAGAAAATGGAATTAGTTTTGCAACCACCGCCGCCATTTTCATTTGAAAAAGATTTAGCGAGTTTTACGTCTGGAAATTTTAATAGGCAATGGTCAAAATGAAAAAAAAGTCTTCATGATACAAATATACTGACCGGCACAAAAAACGCCTCATTATGATTTCTTTAAATAGGTGAAATCTCGAAATTATATTTGTGTTTATTTTCGGCCAGGAAGAGATCGCCAAAAACCCTACTCTTTACCGTAGCAATACTACGTAACAGGGCCATGACTGCTGTTGAAGTTAGGAATCGCCTTGCTGAAGTTCGACATGTGCATGTAAGTGACATGGCTATCAGGAGACTTGCATTCGCATATGAACTTGTGAATTGGGATATGGACAGTGGAGCCAAGTACTGTTCACAGATGAGTCCCGCTTTTGCTTACGATTTTTTTGTTTTTGCTTATTGTTTATTTCTCCGATATTCTTTGCCAAAGAATAACTTAAATAACACCTATCAATAAGATATGATACCACCCCGTAGACAAGAACAAACTGGAAAGTCGGCGAAAAAATATGTTCAAAATAAAGACATAGCTAAGAAAACAATCAAGAAGAAAAAAATTGAAGAACCTAATTTAGAAGAGTATTTACATGATGAAAATATGTTGACAGAGATTGAAAGTAGTGTATGTGATCAAACAGTGTCTGAATAAAAGAAAAAGAAAGGTCGTAGTGTACAATCTGATATTCCTTTTTTAAGTTTTTAAGCCAACTCAAAAATTTTGTCTTTGAAAGTAATGAGCCTTTGAAGAGTAGAAGCGAGAATGTAGTGCACCTATGTTTTGAATAGTCCATTGCATGGATTTTTAAAAATATCTCGAACCTGTCTTTTTTACAAAATGTATTTAGTAATTATAGGTGAAGTCGGTCTTACATACATACATATAAACATAAACACTCACGCCTGTCACCCAGAGGGGTAGGCAGAGACTACGGACTTCCATTTGGCGCGATCCTGACACACCTCTCTCGCCTCTTTTACATCCATATATCTACGCATACACGCTCGTCGGTTAAGGGTACTCCTAATCTGGCCCATTTTTAATGTATCGCCGATTTGGTCGATAAACCTTCGTCTAGGGCGTCCCTTCTCGACCCTGCCGTTCACTTCCGCAACATAAATTTGCTTTGTCACTCTTTCCTCGTTCATTCTTTCTACATGACCAAACCACCGAAGCATTCCTTTCTTAATCCTTGTCACAACGTCATCTTGCAAACCACACTTTTCTCTTATCACACTATTTCTCACCCTGTCATTCAGATTCAGCCCTAGCATACTCCTTAAGGAACGCATTTCTACAGCATTTATTCTACTCTCATGCTTCTTCTGCCAGACCCAACTTTCACTACCATACATTAAAGTAGGGACTAACACAGCATTATGAATTGCCATACGTGCCTTAGTTGACACATTCTGACTCCTCATAATAGCGTGTAGAGCCCCATTCACTCTATTTCCTGCGTTCACTCGTCGTTCTATATCCTTATCATATCTACCATCCCTGCTAAATAAACATCCCAAATATACAAACTCATCCACTTGCTCAATCAACTCCCCTTCTATTCTTATTTCACATAAAGTTTTACTTTCTTCTCTTTCAAAAACCATCACTTTCGTCTTACTTGCGTTCACTTTCATACCCCTTTCTTTCAATGACCAATTCATTAAAGTAACCATCATTTGCAACTCGGCCGCCGACGATGCAAATATGACTTGATCATCGGCGTACAAAAGGCATTTGACGGTTGACTCACCCATTCTCAACCCACATTCTTCAACTTTCAAAGTTTGCAAACAACTGTCCATAAATAAGTTAAACAGCCACGGGGAAGCCACACATCCCTGTCTGACACCTTTATGAATGCCAAACCAGTCCGAGTAGACCCCGTTGATCCTGACACAAGCACTAGAGTCCCTATAAAGAGATCTTAATGCCTGTATCAAGCCAGCGCTCAACCCAAATGAGTTCAGTGTTTGCCATAACACATTCCTGTCCACTCTGTCATAAGCCTTTTCCAAGTCCATGAACGCACAAAAAACTTTCTGGTTTTTAGCCAAAAACTTCTCCGCTATCATGCGCATGGAAAAGACTTGATCCGTACACCCCATCCCCTTTCTAAATCCAGCTTGCACATCCCAAATTTTTCCATCAGTTTCTTCCATAACTCTTTCAATTAACACCTTAGCATACAGTTTACCCACAATGCTAAGCAAGCTGATACCTCGGTAGTTTTTACAGTCCTGCTGCGACCCCTTTCCCTTATATATTGGGACTATAACGGCTTTGCACCAGTCTTCCGGTACCCGTTTCAGTTCCCAACATAAATTAAACAAGGTGTGCAGCAGGCCTGTAACCACACCCTCACCAGCCCTCAGCATTTCGAGTGATACTCTATCATATCCGGCTGCCTTACCTGCTTTCATGCTTTTCATTGCTTTCATTATTTCATCTACACTTATCTCCCTACCTCTCTCCACTTCTTCCGGAATTTCTATTTCACTTATTCCAGACGACTCTTCACTCTTAAACACGCTTTCAAAGTATTCCTTCCATCTCTTTAAATTCGAAACTTCATCATTCAGCATGCAGCCATTCTCGTCTCGTATAGCATTTATTCTAGGCTGTTTTGAATTTCCCCTGGCAGTTCTTACGAGCTTCCAGAACATTTTAATATTTGCCTGGAAGTTATCAGATATCCTTCTATCATTCTTATCTATCCTTTCTTGCTTTTTCCTTTCAACAACTTCTTTTACTCTCTTATTTATACGTCTAAAGTCTGCCTTTTTTCTTTCAATCTCATCATTCATACCGCCAGAATTACCAGCTTTAGTTGCTAGTAAATCTAGCCATGCTCTCTTCTTTGCTTCAACTTCCATCCGTACCTCATCATCCCACCACAATGTATTACTTTTCCTTTCATTCGTTCTCTTACCTTGAACCTAATTTAGAAGAGTATTTACATGATGAAAATACATATGTTGACAGAGATTGAAAGTAGTGTATGTGATCAAACAGTGTCTGAATAAAAGAAAAAGAAAGGTCGTAGTGTACAATCTGATATTCCTTTTTTAAGTTTTTAAGCCAACTCAAAAATTTTGTCTTTGAAAGTAATGAGCCTTTGAAGAGTAGAAGCGAGAATGTAGTGCACCTATGTTTTGAATAGTCCATTGCATGGATTTTTAAAAATATCTCGAACCTGTCTTTTTTACAAAATGTATTTAGTAATTATAGGTGAAGTCGGTCTTAATGATTTGCAATGGAATACTCAAAGTATTAAGTCAAAGTTAGCGAAATTTGAACAGCTTATGTGTCAGGAGAAAATTCATATCGTTGCGCTCTCGAAAACATGGTTGAACCCTGATATAACACTTAACTTAAAAGAATACAGTGTATTTAGACTTGATAGGGTAGACTCTTATGGCGGAGTGGCTTTAATAATACACAAATCTCATTCGGCTCTGTTGCTTCCACTGGAGAGTGCCAACTCGGCTATTGAAGGGATATCCGAAATTGTTGAGAATATAGTTTATTTATATTGCTCTCCTAGTGCTTGAACTTGGTGTAGTGATTGGGATTCAATCTTTTCGTTTTCTGATAAAAATGCCCTAATACTTGAACATTTTGACGGACATCACCCCGATTGGTCGAATAAAACCGATTCTAGAGGCATGCAAATTCTGGGCTCGTTAAAGGGCTATAATTTTGTTATTATAAATGATGACAGGCCTACGCGATTAAAATTGGTTGGCGGTATTTTACAACAGTCAGCTCCTGACAAAACATTGTTGTCATCTGAAATCACTTTGAAGTTCAATTGGAATGTTACGAATGTTTAGGTAGTGACCACCTAATGATTAAGATTTCAACATCTATGAATCATTCTCCCATTAATCATAAAAGATGCAACTTTAAAAAAGCTGTTTGGGTGAAGTATCGTCGCATAATAGAAGAAGAGTGCGCTCAGTTTGACATTTCGAGTAACCCACAAGAAGCCTGTGATCATTTGTTAAAATATGTCTAAACCCCAAGGCAAATTTTATTCCTGAACCATATTGGACTCCTGATCTATCGGCTATTGCGGAGAGACGATTAGCACTTAAAATTTTTAGACAGAATCCCACACTGGCTAATTGAAATAAACTGCAGGAAAAAACTCGCAAGTCGCAAAAACTAAATAGAAATGCTAAAAGTAAAGGATGGTAGGAATTTTATTCGTCCTTGAATGAAATACCTTCAGCCTCTGAAATGTGGAGAAGAATGCAATGGTTAAAGGGTTATAGATCAGCTAAACGACAAATTGATAGAAGTATCGAAGAGTCATTAGGTATTGTGCAGCTTATCCCCTGACTATGTAAATCAATCCAACCCAGAGTACACATCTCATAATCCCAAATTGGAAACTGAAATATCTAGGTCAGAGATTTTTAAACGTTTAAAATCTAAAGACACGTGCCCGGGTGCAGATGATGTTTCTTATTCAATGTTATTTAATTTACCTGTAGCAGGCAAAAACATTTTGCTCAAACTTTTCAATATTAATTAATTCAATACCTAAGTCGGGCAGGAACACTAATTGAATTTCATCTCTTATGCCTATTTCTCGTATTTCGTACTTATGTAAAGTATTTCATGCCATTTTTAATAACTGTATAGGGTGGTGCGTTGAAAACAAAAACTATTTTCTGAAGAAACTAAAGGAAGAAAGAACATGAAATGAAGAAAGAACAAAGACAGAAAATGACGTTCTTGTCTCGACAAATCAACCGATTTAGTCCCAAACATCCAAATAGCATTTACTAATTTTTTTTACAATAAGATGCTTTCTAGATCTAGAAAATACATATAATAAGTTATATTTTATCAACCCTCGATCGTCTTAATGTTGACGCAAAATTGTGCAACATTCTGTCGGCTTTCTTAAGTCAAAGATAATTAATGATTGAAGGGATAGATTATAAAATAACTAGAAGTACAGGTCGCGATCTAGCACAAGGTTATCCACTTTCTTCGCTTTTGCTTAACATAGCAACAATAGATATATGTAAGTCTATAACTTCCAAAACACATCTTAATATCTCTCAGTATGCTGATGATTACGTCATATTTATTACTTCTAATAACTGGAATGAGGCGCAAAATCAATTAGGATTAGACATTTTAAATGTTTTTATGTCACAGTTAAAAAGTAAAATACGCGCCTTTTCAAAAGGGCGTCCACGACACAATATTAGTCTTAAAATTAAAGATATTGCTTTGGAAGTGGTAGATAACGTAAAATACCTTGGAATGTGGTTGGGTCGAACGCTACGGTGGAATAAACACATAAACGAAACATCTGAAAAAGTATTAAAGTTTTTAAATGTATTTAAAGTTTTATCAGGTTCGGGCTGGGGTGTCCACCTTAAAAATTTACGGAAACTCTATATATTAGTATTATAAGAAGTCGGTTAGATTATGCGAGCTAATTCAAACCAAAAAGCTAACCTAAGCCTAAATATCATTCATTTTTGGTAGAAATCGTTCCCCGCTTTCCATACATTTTAGTATGAAACAATTAGGTTTCCGTAATTTGCAGCAAATGCGCGCCGCCGCCGCAGGCCCGCTCAGCTTTGCAGCGCATAACGCAAGCAAAGTGTGCCCTTGCGTATGGTGAAAGATGTGCCAAGTGCTAAATGCTAAATCACTTCGCAAGAATTTGTCCAGGATTATACAATAGTACAGGTACGTAGTAGAGGTATTAAGTGCACTAGTAATAAACTGTTTACAGTTTTACAAATAGGTAACGGTAAAATTAATTTCAAAATGGACAGTATACATTGTCCAGCGCTGACGTTAATGTCTTACCATCCCGATTTTTACCACGAACGGGTGTTAAGGAAAGTGATATTTTACCGACGGGTATAACATTAAAATTACTCGGATAAATATTATATAAATCTTAAAGTACTGGGCAAATGTATTATAAAGGTTATATATAAAGAAACATCATACGTAGCTAAATTCATAGTAGTTGACGTTAATTCTCCGCTAATACTTGGTAACAATTACTGTGAAGAAATTAATTCCGTCAAACGGATCCTAGCCATAAATTTGACCTCTGATGATAATGATTGATTCGTTACGCAGAATTTTAACTGAAAACCCAAAAGTGTTTGAGGGTATAGGATGCCTGCCTGGCGAGTACAGGACAACGCTGACCGACGATGTGCATCTTATTGTAACTTATTGGGCAAATTTAAATTTACAAGTAGAGGATATGATATTGCATAAATAATCTTACCAATATTCAGCCATTCAGTGTCTTCATAACCAAACTCCTTCCTGGCTTCAAGAATGGCCTCGTGAAGTGCGAACGTTACCCCCACAGATAACACAAGCGCAGGTTCACTCGTGGCTGTATACATGACACAATTTAAATGTAAACAGAGAAAGTATTAAAGTTGTGGTAGCTTAGGGAATAAGTCATCCCCAAGATTCATAGTACGAGAGAAAACTCATGCAATCTCCGGCTTTAATTTGCTAAAAGGAATTAGAGGAGGACCTACGGGCTTGGGCGGGGGTTAATCTACTCCTAATTCTCACATTTTGACATTATCAGTAGGACTAGGACTACAATCGGAAACAAACCAGGGAGGGGAAAAGAAAAAGTTCGCTAGGCCTTATAAGCTTAGTGGGGCAGGACGTAACAGGTACAGAATGCTGATAGCAGCTGAGATACGAAAAGGCCCTCTCTCTCTGCCAGAGGCCCTGGGACGAAATCCCTCTGCCCAAGCCTCCCCTAGTTCCGAAGGCGAAACAACAGAATCGGTCTGAGGAGGAAACCCCTAAAAACCAGCCCAGGAAATCTGTGTAACTGGCAACGGGGGAGAAGAAGCTCAGCTTCAGTGCCGTAGCTGGCCCAGCGCGTGCAGGAATTCACAATTCCTATGAGCGTGGAGCAGATGCGGCTGGTCCGTCGGGCACTAACACAGGCTATCGGTAAGACAGTCTATGTGGCGCAGCAGGGAATGGGACCGAAATTTTCGGGTTTCAACCACAAGCCAGGTCTGATTCTGGTAACGTGCCTGAATAAGGCAAGCCAGGACTTGACTGTGGGAGAAGTCGGAAACCTGAAACCCTGGACGGAGGCAGGGCTCTCGATAACATCCGAGGGCGAACTGCCTAAGCCTCAGCTGGGCATTACCTATCTGCCCCGCAGCGAAGCTGACTCTCCAGAGGAGGTGGTTGTACTGTTGAGGGCACAAATTGAAGGGCTACATGCCGAGCTATGAAAAATCCTTCACCGTAGGGACGAAGAGAATGGGTTCCTAGTAACCTTTTCTCTGGTCGACCCTTCGGCGGAAGCTCTCCGTGCAGGCGACAGAGTCGTCCTTGGCTTTAAAATTATAACTTTTAAGGTCAGGGTAGGCTCTGATGTGGTAATGGAGCCTGAACCGCCCCAACTCCAATCCCCTAGCCCTCCACTTCGTGGGATGAGCCTGGAACGTCATCAGCGAGAGTGACTAAGACCTATGGTGCTGATCTCGCCTCGGTCCGAGGGCCCCCGCTCGTGTCGGCAAAGGGTATGGAGAAGGGAGGTGGGAGCGGTAAACCAAAAGGTACGGTGGGGGTCAAGGGGGCCAGTAAAGGACATCTTCTATGCCTAACGTTCCTTGATCTTTATTTAGACAAGGAGGCGAGGGCTAGTTTGTGTAAGAATAAAACCCAGCGTGGTTTGAACTTGCTTTCCTGTAGATTGAATCCATGCTCGACTCAATTAAGGAAACACCGGTATTATGCATGATATCAGATATCATGCGTCCACTATACACTTTTAATAAAAAGTACATAGTGGAACTACCTTCCAGAGAAGAATGGCTGAATGGACAGGTTATCTATGAGGTCGGTAGCCTCATATGGTATATCGATGGGTCAAAAATGGGTCTCGACGTAGTATGAATTTGGGTAGATTCACCTCTATCTTCTATGCAGAAATTTTTGCCATACTTCAGTGTGCGGAAATCAATCCGCAAAAATACTACGTCAACCATATAATCTATATAAACTCTGATAGTCAAGCAGCACTAATAGCGCTGAAATCAAACTTGGTGAACTCGAAGCTATTTGGAGACTGCGTGAACCGTCTTAACGCCCTGGGATCGTCAGTCGTCGGGTCGTCAGTCGTCACGATTCACAGTCGTCTTAAGGTGGGTTCCGGACCACATGGGTATTATAGGCAATGAATTTGCCTACAATACCCATGATTTCGTACGGGAGGGCTCAAAGAGTACACAATTTGGATCCGAGCCATTTTGTGGAATCTCAAAAAGCCTAGCCCGATTGACCCTTGAAACTCTTTATCACAATAAATTACTTAAGATCTGTTTTGATACACCAGGCTTAAAATACTTTTAAACCTTAAACCTTAATCATAAATTCGCTTCAGAAGTAAAAATAGATTGCACATTCTGGAAAGAGCCCTGACTGGACACTGTTGTTTTAAAAAGCACATGTCCAGCCTGGGACGAAGTAACTTAAGGATGTGCCGGTTCTGTTCCTTAACGGAAGAAACGCCTCTGGGAAGCTATGTACTCCGCTCATAAGAAGTGAAATTGCTCACAGCTAAGTAACTCCGATGAATAAGTTAACTCGGATTAGTAAGCTGAAGTGGCAATGGGCCGGCCATATAGATCGAAGAACCGACAACCGATGGGAAAAAAAGATTCTCGAGTAGCGGCCTCGTACCGGTAGGCGAAGTGTGGGGCGTCCTCCTATTGGATGGAGAGACGACCTGGTAAGACATGCAGGAAGTTGATAGACGCAGTTGGCGCAAGGCCATGCTTTGTGACATTCCTTTGGGGAGGCCTATGAAGCCATTTCTATTCATTGAAGACGTAGGGCTTAGCAGTAAACTATAGTGATAGCATCGATCACAATAGATATTTTAGGTCGCAGTGATACTGGTCTCTCTCTCTCTCTAGACCTGCATAGCTGCTCGCAATAAAATCTTTTGAAGTGTTATTTGTATTTAAACGTACGAAATTATATTTTTAACTCATAGGTTAGGTATTGCTATTTGCTATTGGCTGAATTAAAGATATAATTGGGCAATTATTTTTAGATGATTTAGAAGATTTTAGAGTTAATCTTAGGACACACCGTTATAAGTAACACTTATACATTATCCAATTAACAAACACTACTCCTTTATAACACTTAGATAAACTGAATAATTTACTTCCAAGTAACACCCCACTTAAGGCTTTAACTAGCCTGAATGACCTTGACGAAACGGCGATCGCAGAGATTTTAGCCGATGTCAACACCGTCTAGCAACTACGTTCTGTATTACTTATAAAAGTGCAAAGATTAATAGCTGCAGAGATGACAATTATATAACTGACATACTGCCTGTTATGCTTGCGCATCACTGAGAATTATGTCGCGGTTACGCATCTTCAATTACATTGCACGGTGTGGTGACAGCATCTCAGCAGCTTTGAGCTATCAAGTGTTCAAGTTTCAAGTACGTAAGAATTTTTAATATATATGTTAAATCGTATTTATTTGTTTCGTATTAAAAATATGTCGTCAAAGCATTCGCTGTAAATTTTCCCGGGTTTGAACCCCGACGGCACGAATGAAATTTGTAATTGCAATTTTCGTCAACACGCATTGGGGAAGCACGGCGGGCATTTCCTTGCCCTAAAACCCTCTCAGAAATAAAAAAAGAGTCCTGTGCTCAGTAGAGGGACTTGTATAGTCTATTACTTTACTTTGTAGCAATATTTATATTCGTTTCAGATATAGAAGAGTACCTTATGCTGACAAAAATATCATGTGGAGGCGACGAAAAGGTAAAACATCTTTGTACCTAGATAAAACGTTCGAAAGATTGTCAGTCATGTCATACGCCACATTTTCTATAGAGCGTAGAACATTGCAGATAGGGCAAAATAAAAAATAATCCAATATATTATGGGAACTATTTATTAATAATATATACATTTATAGGTATTTATAATAAAAATAATGAACAAGCTGCAAGGTTCAACTAATAATGTTTTTTGTAAACACAATCGTAAAATTCCTGTTTTAATTTTTACCAATGGTTAATTCATGAAACGTAGTCAAGATCACTTCATATAAAATATATTTAATTAAAATTGACACGTGACCTATTTGGCCTACTACTTACAACTCGGCGGAAATTTAAAAAGAAGATTTTGTCTTTTCACACAAGTATTGTTTACAACTGGCATGGTTTCGAAAAGCGTGATTAAGTGTCAGCGGTATATAATCAATTAAATACTGAACTTTTTTGAAATTTATTTATTTATTTATTTTTGTTATATCTTCTTAAAAACTGACGCCATCTCACTATTTTATTATTTGTTTTTTTTTTGTACGCATAAGGATAAATTAGACTAAGTTAGATTAACTTGGATAAGTTTATATTTTTTTTAATTTTATCACAAAATTTCCGCAATAAATTATTACCTATTCTACAGTGATTCTCTTCTCTTAGTTTCGGCGTGACTGTAGGATGTTATAGTGAGTCACCGTCAGTTATTAAGCGGCCATAAATCATTATATGTATGTATAGACATACATATATACATTTTTATGATTTTAATATTTAGGTTTTTGAATTTTGATTGATATTTTGAAACCTGGTAAAATTACTTTTTTCCATACCAATTGATGGGCCTGAGTATAATGCCAGTTATGCTCTTTGGCTGAAGTTATTTTTTTATTTTATGCTCAATTGCAGACAAAACAATATTGATTGCGCATTTCTAAAACAAAATTTTACCTCTTCTCCTTCTAATAATAGCTCCTGCACCTAACACGGCGGAATAGTTATTATTATCTATAAGACCATTTGGGAAAACAGTTTTTGTTAACAGTTATGAGTGTAACATTTTATCAGCTGCTTTGTTTATAGTGCCTTGAGCAACACTTTGCCGGTTTCTGTACAGAAAATGATGCTGGCTTTGCAAATACGGATGGCCGCTATCATTGAATATAATTCCCGCTATGTTACACTCATTTACATAGAAACTTTAATTATCATTTGTTTAAAATTCTAAATAGCACATTTTACACAAGAAAGTAAACTTTAAGATCAGTCAATTTTGTTTTTCACTAATTAAGTAAAAAGTAAAACAAACCAATAGGGCCGGGAATTAAAATTTCTTGCAACTTTTTATAGAAAAGCATGACCTTATCATATTATAAAAGTCAATCATTTAGCCATGTGATAAAACTTTTAAGTGTGCCAGTCAAACATTAATGATGATATTCGGGTCATTATACTGGAAATAGTCTTTTAAATATTTTGTAGTACAATTGATAATCTTTAGTATGATTGACCGTGTATATGACTTTTATAAGTCTATGTTATTTTTGATGAAAATTATTAATGCAGATAAAAGCCCTTTCACATTTATTTTAGTCTCGAATTAAAATAATCAAAATGAAAATAAGAACTTTGGCTCTTTATAACTGATCTTTAAATGTAGAACACTGACTTGAAATTATATAATTATCGGCATTTTTTTAATTCATTGAACTTTTTTAAGATTGTGTTGAAACTCTACTGAAAAAAAAACTAATATATATATATATATATATATATATATATATATATATATATATATATATATATATATTATAGTTCTTGATGAAAATAAAGTATGCGCGTTACATCGCATCCCATCAAGAACTTCTAATGTAATTCTTGGTGTAAAGCTAAGACGTGATAATAACTGTAAACAATAGAATAACAAAATAATGAAAACATTTACATTTACATACAAAACATTTACAAAAATACTTGCTTTATATAACCTTATAAATATTATTTGACCGTAATAAAATAAAACAAGGTAGTCTTGGGCATGAAAGTAAAAATAAATATTTTCGATTATGTTTGCAATATCTAACAGCCGGATCAGCGGGCGATTCTGATCCATCTAAAGATGCTAAATTTCAGCAAGCACTGTCAAATTCAATAGGAGTGACAGAAAAACGGTTCTTGATATAGAAAGGTAAATCAATTATTTAACCTATAAAGTAAAATCACTTTATTACAAATCAAAATAGCCCAATAGCTTTATTAACATGAGACATAATTGTACGAGTGCTTACAATACTTAACATTGTTTTATTGAAATCTCAGAAAGTTTTTTTTAAATAGAATAAGGGTGACAAATGAGCACACAGTCCACCTGATGGTAAGTGGTTGCTACGGCCCATACACATCTACATCTATCCTCGATTACGTATCAAAATGCAGATGCGTTGTCACTCGTGAGGACTAAGATGTAATGCCTCGTTTCCAGTAAAAAGGTCCTCCGGTTCTCTACACTCACCATACGAAACACAGCAGGGTTAAACTACTATTTTACATGTTATTCCGTGAGAGCGTGGCCCTTCCCCTGTCGAGCCGACCCATTCGTGCTACAACTATACCTAATAAATATAGCTGTAGCATGGCTCTACCATGTAAAAAAAAATTGACGTTGAAAATTTAAGTATATTTAGAAGCAACTTGTAATTATTTTCTATTGAGTTAATTTTTGTCGAATCGTGTTTTGCAAACCGCCACCTGAAATACGTACAATTTTTTTTCGATAATGACGTGAAATTACAAAACCATCTCCATGCATTTCAATGTGGCTCTATTCAGCCTCTTAATATGAACATACCTCGGATTTCAGAGATAATGGAAGATATAATATTATATTATTACTGTCCCGTGTGAGGCAACCTTTATACTTATATACATATTCTCATCATATTTTTATGGTTGGTTAGAAAAATTATATCTAAATGCAAACTTTCACAGGGTAAATTTTTTTTACTATTTTTACCCAGCAAGTAGTAAAGCAACTACAATCCCATCGGTAAGTGGTTATGTAGTCTAAGATGGTGAATTACACTGACTTAACAAAAACCTATTCACTCTTGCCTAATAGTACTAGGTAAGTATTATTTGCGATTTGTGTGTGTGTGTGTGTGTGTGTGTGTGTGTGTGTGTGTGTGTGTGTGTGTGTGTGTGTGTGTGTGTGTGTGTGTGTGAAGAAAAGCGTAAGAGAATACGTGAAGAGGAATAAAGGTTGAGTACTAATTCGCTTACCTGTACGAGGTTGCCACTCGAGGACCTTTCTTCCTATTTTTTATATGTTTTCCAAGTTATATAGCTAGCCCATTGCCATTTCACTGTAATATTCCGTTGAGCTATGTCAATTACTCTGGTTCTAATGCAAATACCTTCATTTCTAACTTTATCACGTAGAGAAAACCCTCTCCAATTTAAAATTTTTACATTTTTTAGATGATAGTTTGTCTAACAAAAAAGAAACCATAAACCCAAGAATGTCTTTATATAATTATTTATACTTAGGTAAGCACCATTCTTTTATTTATTTAAATTGTTTGATTTAATTTGATAACTGTGTACCTAAATGTAAGTATCTGTATCTTTATTTCTCTCCCCAATAATATTTTATAAAGTCAAACTTATAAAAACAGCGTTTTATTGTAATACATAATTATAAAATTCATTATCAACTAATTAATAAAAATATGCAACAATAAAATTACATAGGTATTAAAAACTATCGCAATCTAAGTAACGAGAGCATGTTCGTCGTTCCACATCTAAATTATATAAGAATGCATTTTTCAATTTCACTAATCAACGTCGCCGCAAAAATTTCTTCTTCTTTGGGCACTTTAAAAATTCATTTATTTAGAAAATAATATTTACAGTTACCAGTGTACAGATATTAACTAAATTAAGTATTTCTAGTCATAAAAATATTTATAATTGAGTATAAACTTTTAAAAAACTAATATATATTTGAACGAAGTCGCTCCAACACCGACGTGCGGTCCACACTCGACGATGTCCGAAAACGGACTGTGACAGAGCTTACATGGCGACGGAGCATGCGCGCTCGCGTAAATATATTCAATTTCAGGGAAAAATGATATATTCTCTTATAAAACGGGTAATAAAAATAAAACTCTCAATTAAAAATATTACTATTTTTAAGACCTTTTTTTTAGTGTAAGAACTATTTAAAAAGCTTGTGCCGTTTTGGAGATATTTTGCAAAATATGACAAAGATAGGTACTCTTTGGGGATTTTTTTTCTAATAAGGAGTTAACAAAAATACAATTTTGTTAAATTAAAAACATTTACCAAATCTTCTTCTGTAACCCTGTATTTTTTCTTTGTGGATTAAATGAACAGTTATTGAGATTTTTTTACTTAAATATCCTAGATTTAGGCATTTCAACCACTGTTAAGGCCTTAAGTAATTATTCTGCGAAATAAACTAAATCTACATCAAACTTAAAGCTTAGAAAATTTAAAACGAATTCCATGAAATTTGAAAATGATTTCAAACATTCCCGTTTATTTATTTATTTATTTTGCATAATGTGTGTGTTTTACAGTTGTTATAAAAAAAAATATAGTACAACACATTAACCATTTCTGGTGTACAAACTTATTGAATTTTATAAACATTAAGTATTATGAAGTACATTATAAATTAAAATTACAAAAAAAAAAACATACATTGCATAATAAATAAAAAAACAAAATTGAAAGTGACCTAATGAACAAAAACATTTACTACTATTTGCATTATCATATCATTAATATTTATAATTTCATGTCACATTATAATATATAATTACCAAAATATTATTTAAAAAAAAATTAAAGATAATTATTGTTTTTCCAACAACTCGCTAATCGTTTATAATAATATATATATATCTCGTTTTTGAAAAAATTTACTTTGAAACTTTTCTTTTTGGCAGCAACTACAGATTCATTTTACATATTTTCCGCTACAAACTAATTTGAATAAAATATAAATTAAATCAGCACGTGTTATTTGTACTTTAATAATCATGTGTTAAACAACTTTAATTTGTTATGTAACACATAATATAAAGTTTTTAATTTATAAGATACTTAAAAATTATATTGATGGGCAAATGATAAAGATATTAAAATACAAAAATAAAAGTTTCTAAACTACGACTGAAATGAAATTGAATGAAGATAATGCGTACAATTAAAAATTTTGTACAACGGACTTCAATATAAATTATTAAGGATAACTCAAAAACTGCTAGTCACACACCTTAGTTAAATTTATATCGGACTACATGAGAAGCACTAATTTTCAACATAAAAAACACACATAAAAAAAAGAAACTAAAAACAGTGGAATTGAGTACCTCTTCGTTTTTGAAGTCGGTTAAAAATGGATCACTGCTTCATATCCAATTTGAGTCATCTAGTGATAATTAAACTAGGTACGTATGGTAATAAAGCCTTTTCGAAAACCGGCTTGTTCAGGATGCTGAAAGTAGTCGAGTATGCGTGTGAGACGATTCCTAATGACTCTCGATAACAATACGTAGACGCGGCTCAGAAGTGAAATCGGTCAGTAAGAGAGGGTTGTAGCCATTCTTGAAGAACAAGGCCATCGCATTTCTACTCCATATCCTCCACCGCCTCATCGGGATGTGCCGAGGTAGGTGCGTAAACCTGTATGATCTTCAACGAATACCGTTTGGTGATTCTGAGTATAACGCACACAACCCTCGTCGCTCACAATCTTTACTACATTTTTAACGAGAGACTTGTGGACGATAGTCGGATTTATATCTCCTTGAGACAGATGGTCTCTCTCTCGGTGATAAAACAGGTTGCCGGATTCGAGGATTACCGTGTCCTCCGCCTGTCTTCGGATCTGAGATGATCCTATAATATCCAAGCACTACTTGTCTATCTCTTCTTCCAGCTCCAGGATCTTCTCATTAGTTCTCAAGATGCGTGTATTGTATGTTGCCAGGTCGAGTCGTTTTAGGTGGCTACCGAACCTCCATCGAAGATTCTCAGCACCCCCTTTCCCGCCGTTACCATGGTCGTCACCGTAGCAAGGAATAGCAGGGCCGCCGGAGGCTGGGTGCCGTTTATTTGTGTCGTTGCTCATGTGGCTCAATCTTATTTAAATTATATTTAATTTATCTTTTATAGGAAAGTAAATTCTTTTCAGAAATAAAGAAATCTTAACCTGAAAATATCCCGTAAAATACCGAAACGGTGACAGGCAGTAACGTTATAGGTGCTCTTGTCTAGTACTGATAGCCTGCCAAGAGTGACAGTTAAGGCAAACCCTACCTACTAGCTTTCAGTCCGTCCAGCAGTGATTTTATGCGCTGATGAAGAAGGTGAAGTTTATATGTTTACTTTACTCAAACCTCCTTTGAGTACTACATACTATCTCAAGTTATCAGCAATGCCATTTATTGGCAGTTGGCGAAAGACAATTTCCAAAAAAGTCCAAACGGTGTCTCAACCCACCTTTTGATCGAAGGATGCCGGTATCGTTCTTTGAATTGCGCCGGAAGCTGATACGGAAGTCTATCGGGATGTCCAAAGCGCCAGGTGGCTTGTAGGTCCACGTGCAGTCAGTGAGCAAGCGGCCCGACTTGGAATAGATCAGATGCTCGCTGGTCCACATGCCTACACCCATGATAAAGGCACCTTCGATCTATGGAGAAATTATGTTTTTTATACACGAAGATAAAACTAGATACACCAACTGATATGCACAATATTATAAAAGATTTTCCTCTGCGCCATACTGGAGCAGTTCATGAGGGTAGATAGAACCCATACCTTAGAACTGTTAATACTGATCCATACCACTATTCAGTTGAATTTGTATTTGGCATTTTTGAAAGATTATTGATTATATTTAGCTTATCACATTTGTTAATTATCAAAGTTGTATCAAATGTGATGCTGTTTTTTTTTTAATAAATTTGAAGACAAACTTAGTTCAGAATTCAGACTACTATGGTAATTGCTTTTTTTTTATAGAAATAGGGTGACAAATGAGCACGTAGTCCACCTGATGGTAAGTGGTTGCTGAGGCCTATATACATCTACATCTATCCTCGTTTACGAATCAAAATGCAGATGCGTTGTCGGCCTTGAGGATTAAGATGGATTGCCTCTTTTCCATTAAAAAGGTCTCCGGTTCTCTACACTCACCATACGAAACACAGCAGCATTAAGCTGCTATTTTACGCTGCTATTCTGTAAGAGCATGGTCCTTCCTTGGTCGAGCCGACCCATTCATACTACAACTATACTAATAATATAGCTGCAGCATGGCTCTACCACGTAATAAAATGCTAAACAGAATCTCTTTCCTGATAGATTATATCACTATATAGACCAAAGATAGGTTACAGAGGTGTGGGCTGTTGGGGAAGTTAAAATATAAAAGAATATAATATATAATAGGGTAAACAGTACTAATGTTGGCACTCCACCAACGATTAGCACTTTGCTATTTTAATCTGGATATTAAGAACGTTTTCTTTTTTCTATACGAGTATCACAGCAACACAGATATTGCTAGGATATATAATTTCTTATGGTAACAAAACATATTTGTATTAATAGAATCAGGCGTTACTTTGCGGAAGTCCATTATATTAAAGATGCGAGCCAAAACAACTGCATAAATAGCAGTTGTTTTGGCTCGCCGCTCACTTAACGGTCAGCCACCGCAGAGTCTACATCACCTGAAGATGCCTCGTATAGAGGCGAAACACGTGTCGTATTTTCGTCAGTGGTATCTTTTCTAGTGTAGTGGTGTTGGGCTGAGTGGTGACGGAGATAGTGCACCCAATTGAGGGAGAGCGTGAGGTGCTCTTCAAACTAGGTAAAACACATCATTTTATTTTATCGAGCGGATGTACGCGAAGTAATTTTTTATCATCTTTAATATATTTGTATTTAAATCTTCAACTATTTTCATATAACGGCTGTTTTAAAAATGTGTTTGGACAAGTCCGTTAAAATTTAACAAAAAGTTAAGGTTTTTAGATCTAGATTTAGATCTAGATTTGGAGACAAAGAAGTGATTTTTAGATAAGTTTATATGCAAGCGGAGCTAGAAAAAGAATGAAAAAATTGGGTACAAGTGAAAAAGCAGAATTGAAACATATCTTCAATCTTTTTAAATCTTTGAACCATTTCACGATACCAATCAACACGACGGAGTTTTTGGGCCTCTGTCAAATTATAAGGTATCCACAAAAGTATCCACCGGGCACAAAGCTTCCTGACTGCTAAATGTTCATGGAGGATTTTGTGCACTTGACTCATACCGATGCCTAAACTTGTTCGAATCTTCTGATAATTCACTCTTTTGTCAGTCTCTATCATACGCCGCACAACATTGATGTTATATTCAATCGTCGCCGTAGAAGGCCGTCCCTCACGCAGATCATCGGTGAAATTAGTGCCACCACGATTAAACTCACTAAACCAGTTGTAAACAGTAGCACGAGATGGGGCTTCATCGTGAAAGGCCAATCGAAGTCTATCATAACTTCTTTGTTGGCTTAAATTACATCGATAGTCATTAAAAATGACTGTGCGAAAATTTTCTCGCGTTAAATTCATGCTGACGTGACACAGATAATTTTTAATTTGCCGTCTAATCGTAAACAAATGACAAATTAATAAAATACATACACAATAATATTGGCAAAGAGTTCCATATTCAAAATTTGAACTAATTTTTTTATTATATAGTTTACAAGTGGCCAGTTCTAAAAACTTTCAGTGTCGCCCTCGTAAACTGTACAGTACGTTGGTAGAGCAAGTTTGAAAGCTTTGTATTCGGTCTTATTTTTCCATTCAGAAAGGGCAGCGCCAACCTTACCCTTAATGAGGGCTAATAATCTTCCACTCACCAGATGTCGCTAGTTGTGACTGAGGTAAAGTTTTTTGTTACACAATGTCAGTTAATTGTGTTACTTTTAAATAATACTTTATCATTATCTAGAGTATTAAATTAATACACAACACAATGCGTCAGTGGTATGATTTTTAATTTTTTGCACTTTTATAACTCTTTTTTTTATTTTTCTACTTTTAGTAATATTTATAGTTTGGTTTATTCATTTCTAATCTAATTAATATGAAATATAACTAATAATACGGAAAGAAACATTAAAGTTTACATTTTCCTAAGAAATTATTGTCCCCCGCTATGAAATCTGTCAAATATTTTACTTCATTGTAAAGTGGCGCCGCCCTGGTGGCAGAAAACGTCGTGGATGCCCTCATTTTGCTCCCGTCAGTAAGTATGTAGACGTTTAGTTCACTCTATTTGTTCACCTGCTCTTCGTTATCCGGACTGATAATTTCTAATTCCAGGCGCTCGACAGGGTGTGGGCCCTCAACAGCTAAAGCCATTCTGTAGACCTCCTTCCCGCCAACACTGGCTGAGGCACCTCCTCTTAAAGTTAAAGTTACAGCCTTTATACGTTCCACTGATGGGCACAGCCATCCCCTTATTTTTGAGAGGGTTTTGAAGGCAAGGATGTGTTCGCCGCGCTGCCTCAATCCGTGTTGGCGAACTTCACATTCTTTGAAATATTTTTTTCTTATTTCTCAGACATTCAGGTTTCCTTACAATGTTTTCCTTCACCGCTGAACACGTGGTAAATCAGCATTTAAAACTGCAATTAACAATTTAATTGGTGCTGTCGGGGGTCGAACCCGGTTTGCTCGCGTGCTGTGAAATTTACAGCAAGCGCCTAACACGGCCCTCTTGGCTTCATATAATGAAGCGGTCTTACGGACTCGGAGGTCCAGGGGGAGTATTCCAGCCAGTACTAGCACCGAAATCAGAGAGACTGTTCGGTAAGCTATGCATAATTTTTGCGCGATACCGCGCTGTACTACGGTAACTTGTTTTATTATACCCAGCTTATTTGCAGCCTATGCTCAGACGCTAACAGCGTAAAGTATAATGGACTCTACGGTTGCGAGATATATCACTCTTATCACCTCAGGATAGAGTCCACAACTAACCTTCGCCGCTTTGCATAGTAGTTTGTAGACGCTGATTGCCTTCTTACACATATTCGATACATTGGTGTTAAAAGTAAATTTTTCGTCAATTGTCACCCTCAGTAGCTTTATTTCTTTTGACACGCCAATGTCAATACCTCCCATGTTCAGGCTTGGTGTGTAGGGTTTCAGTTTTTTTGTTATAATCATCATGTTCATCTTGTGTGGCGTAAACTTCCCGGACATGTTCGAGATTGGCTTTGGTATATCTCTCCACCTCTTGTGCTGTGTCGTCTGATAACGAATGAACTGCATTAGTACATAGAGGGTGTCTTCGGTGCTCCTCTATGGTATGAACCCGTATTGGCGAGTACTCATCTTTAGCAAAAGGTGGAATTTGTAGGAGCTAATAGATTTTTCTCAGTATAGGCAATGGGCCCGTTCACTTTTGGAATGGTGTAGTGTACTTTCCCTGTTTTTAAGCCCTATGATTGTAGCGATTTTCCAGGTTTCTGGAAAGTGTTATAGCACTAGGCATTTATCAAGGAAAGCTAAGAACAGCTCAAGGTTGCTTTCAATAGCGCGTAGGCATATGCCGGTTGTGAAACCGTCCGTTCCTGGGATCTTTTTTGGGTTGAAGGATCGATACGCCTGTTTCAATTCGGACATTGTGATCAGTGGATCACACAGGTCATCTTGCTCAGCAAAGTTCACTTTACCAGTTTTTGTTGTTATGTGGCGACGGTAAGTGTTGTGGCTGTTGGCTGTTCCGGAAAGAACGTTTCCGCCAATAACTTTCCGGAACCTTTTGCGTCCAACACTACCTTATTTATTTCCAGTTACACGTCGTCGTCCCTACGCGTTGTACTCCTCTTAGGTTAAGTTAGGTTAGATTCCCCCCCAGACCCTACCCCCAACGGGTTCCCGCCTTGTTGTGGCGGGGGGGTTTAGCAGCCGTCGCTTCGTCACCCGCAGTGAACTAAGAGGAACCCACGTGGCTGATCCGAGGTATAGGGCCAGCCCAAGGAGGCCACTCCATGTGGGCTTGGCGAGCCCACTTCGGATATGTGTGTTGGTGGGCTACGGTGAGAGGGGTGCCCTCTCCCCCTACCGCTGTATCAGAGGTGGAGTGGCGGAGGAAGAGGAGTTTTGTACAGTGATACGCTACTCGCCCTATCCTCCGCAACTCTGACGGGGTCGCACCGTTAATTAATGCAGTGGTGGTGGGGCTATGGGGGAAGAGGAGTGTCGGTATTGCGAGGCGTTGATCTCCCTACCATCCGCAACCAAATCTTGGTTGGTGGCGGAGCCATAGACCATCGCTAAGAGCTATCTCTTCCAGACAACCTTTGGATGGGCAGGATTGCAAGAAAACAATAAAAACATGTGTGGTTTGGCAACGTCGATCGACAATTGATCGATGTGGTTGTGGGCTCGTCATCAATATCTTTCAATACGTATTCAGAAGAATACAACAGTACGCTCTTGCTCGTATTATTATTACGGAGACGCAAACGCAGAAGACTCTGGATGAGACCGATTTTTTTTTTGATTTTTAAGACTATAGATAGCTTAGCGATCGGTGGAGCTGGATGGGTTCTCGAATAATCAAGTATCTCGATCGACGTCGATATAACCCATTCTACCATCGATCGATACCATCTATCGATTAGTGTGGTAGAAATTATCGGTCTACGCCAACTAATCCATTCTACTATCGATTGGTGTGGTAACACCCTAATGCTGTCGCGGGGTACGACATAGCCAGACAACAGAGAAAGAGAACTGCAGCTGGGACTGATTATAACTATGGCAAATTGATGAAATAATCATTCCACATTCCCCTGTTTCCTACCCCAAAACTGGATCGATATTTTTTCAAGAACAATAGAACAAGTATTGTGACTGTATGTTATCCTTATATTTTTATGGTTGTTAAAATAAGCGATGTCCTTAATAAGATTACCTGACCAACGTCCAAGTTAGGGTTGAGACTTTGTCCCGTATCTTCAAGGATGTCCACCCTCAGGATCTGATGCTGACCAGTCAGCACGTCCAGGCATATCTCAGTAAAACAAACTCCGTACACATCATAACCCATTAAAGAGTCTGAGGGAGACGTCATCCAACTTGCCTGAAGGTTTACATCTGGAATTTATGAAAATATAATTTCAATACCAGCGGAAAATCTTGAGTTGCTAACGTACTGTTAAATTGAGCGCCTGAGCGTCATAGGTACATGAGGAGACTCCATTCAACAGAATACAATACAATACTAATAAAAACATCATGAATGTTTGCGCTATTTAGGAATGTTGTGTATGTAAGTGTCCAGAGATTTATTTGCTCACGACTTCGACGAGGGGAGGTGTTGTAGTGATGAAATAATCGCGATGATCGTGAGCCAATATAAATAGTATAAGAGATCGTTTATATATATGTATGCATGTATAACTAGGTAAGTTACTATGCCATCGTGAAGTACGGCAACTGTCAGGGTTGTTAAGTTTGCAATTTGTCCGCCATTGTAAGATAAATGTTTGTACGTAAATCACCCATAATAACCTGTGTTTATAAGTAATAAAGTTTTTCATAGTTCTAACCATCGATATATATGTACTACTTACTAGATTGCACATTCCGAACATACACTATGTTCAACTGAACTGTACTGCAATCCGTACAGTGTGTCATTTAGTGTGGTTTCAATTTACTAATTAGTCTGTGGTTTCAATATTCATGCAGTGTGGAGCGGAGCTAATAATACAAGATTTCAAATTAAAGCTTAAACCTGGACGTAAATAACAATTCAGTAGTCAAGTAAGTAAAATTATTTGTTGTTCAAGTGAATAAATAGGTTATAATATTGTAATATTACAAAAGAAAAAATCAAGAAAAAATATATTTCTTTATAAACCGACCGAGCAGGCGCAACGCATTTAAATCAACTGCGCAAGGCGCGACTTTACTATCTCCTGCGCATGGGCGAAGACACGAGTAGTACACATTTTTTGTTTAGAAAGGCTTCTCTAGTACGTAGTACAAATAACTCAATGGTTCTAAAAATGTTTGGTTTCGATTCGCTGACCCAATAGATGATGATATATAAGTTTGTGTAAAGAGATCTATTCCGTACTGTTTTCGAACGATTTCTTGACGACTTCCTCCCACGTAGGATCAACCAATTCATTCCTTGATGGTTCTAATCTATTCAGCAATTCTTTGCAAGCCTTAATAGTCGCGTAGGCGATACACTCGGTAGTTATACTACCACTGCTGACCATTGCGTTGGGTGATACGAAACTATCGGACCCCTTTACTGTTACTTTGGACAAAGGTATCATCAATTCATAAGCGCAGACTTGAGCCACTTTCGTATTGATTCCTTGGCCCATTTCAATACCGCCGTGGGATATTAGAACCGATCCATCCGCGTGGTATACGGATATCGTCACAGGGCGATTCCCGTAAAAAGTGATTGGATATGACATCAACGAAAGCTTCAAAGCACGTTTCTTCCAAGCATTTTCTTTGTTGTGCTTAGCGATTTCGGACACTCTGTCGTCGTAATTGGTTTCCATTTTGAATGTCGCTATCATTTCCTTTAGTACGGCATCCTTGGCGGCCAGATTGGTGATTCTGACTTCGATGGGGTCTTTCTTGGTTATATGCGCGATACGCTCCATTATGTGCTCCATTACAGCGACACCTTCTGTTGAAGCTGAAATTATATGTAATATTAAACATATTAGGATAAAACTATATTTACTAATTTTATTGGTTTTTTTTTAAAACTTATTATAAGCAAGTTCATGCTTCTGTTTTATTTCGTCACATAGCTGTGGGTGCTGCAAAGCAAACCACTCAAAACGTCCGAAACGAAGTTAATTGTGAATACAATAGATCCTTTTAACTTGCAAACTCCGTGATGAAGGTCCTGTTATTTTTGGGATATTTCTCAAGTTAAGTCTGTCAATATTACTATATTACTATCTATATAATAAATAAAATTGAAGTGTCTGTTTCTAATGTTAAAATAACAGCTTTTTACTAAATGCATATGAAAGTATACTATACGGTATATATACGGTACTTATAACAAAAACACAATTTTTGTCTGTCTGTCTGTGTGTCTGTCTGTTAGTTCCGACTAATCTCCGAAAGGGCTGGACCGATTTCGACGGGACTTTCACTGGCAGATAGCTGATGTTATAAGCAGTAACTTAGGGAGGAAACGCCCGGGTGCTCCCACTGCGAGGATCGACCGGAGGACACGGTGGAGCACACCGTGGAGGTGTGCCCTGCCTGGGCGGAGCACCGCCGTGTCCTCGTAGCGGCGATAGGCGGCGGCGACCTCTCGCATCCGGCCCTGGTCGAAGCCATGGTCCGGAGCGAGACGGAATGGGATGCCGTCACCACCTTCTGCGAAGCAGTGATGCTAGCGAAGGAGGTGGCGGAGCGGGAGAAGGAGAGAGCAGCAGCTTTCCTTCCCGGCCGCCGCGGGAGACGCCCCGGGCGTCGGGGGCTACGTCGTGGCCCCCGGCCACCGTAGGCGCGGGCCTGTGTACGGCGAGCAATGGGTACCTCGCCGTCCGTCCGTCTAACGACGACAGGCCGTGTCGACGGCGCGTTTTGTCCCACTCGCGCCTCAAAGAGCTGTCAGCAGCGTGAAGGGGCCCGCAAGGGCCGACGCCTGCCGGGGCTGCGGGCTGTTCGAAAGAGATACCGCGGCTCCGGAGCGTAAGGGCACTGAAGGAACACGGAAAAAAAGGCTACTTATATTTTGGAAAAAGAATTAGGGTTCTGCGCAACACAATTAAAACCCTAAATTACACGCGGACGAAGTCGCGGGGAACAGCTAGTTAAAAAGAAATGTCTTTGCTAGGTTAATAGGAAGTTGTAGCTTAAAATAAAATGGGAAAAATTCTATATTTTTGGTTCTAGGCCATCTGTCACCGTTTTGGTCCCATTGGTGACAAAAGTGTGTAAAACTATTGGTAAATCCAATTGTGCATGCCCTGAGCGCATTAAAAAATTACGTATAACATGATTGTTCGGATTTTTTTTAAAGTAGTTTAAATACACACAAGTTTTCACTAATAACCTTATTATACTTCCAATTTTTCAATAATTTTATGTCAAAATTCAATTAAAAAAAAAGTTTTGAAAATCGATTTACCGACAGTCTACTTGGCACCGCTGAAGGGACTGCAGCACCGCCCAAATTTCGACGGAATCAAAGACTTTCTCATAGTACACATACGCCAGACATAGTATATACGCCATAAGCTGTTAAATCCACTTTTTTATGTAAAAATAACAATTAATCGGTTCAATAATTAAAAATTAAAAATTTTGTACAGCCGACTTCAATATAAGTTATTTAAGAATAACTCAAATACTATAAGTCTGACCTTGATGAAATTCATATGGGACCACACGAGAACTATCAGCTTTCATATAAAAAAAGAATCATCGAAATCGGTTCACCCGGTACAAAGTTATGACACATAAAAAACATACAGTCGAATTGAGTACCGTTTCCTTTTTGGAAGTCGGCAGAAAATAAATTAATAAGTTCAACAATCATTTATCTTTCTGAAAATGTGCTTTTTATATCATTTCTATGTTCAATATGATTGTTAGATACCATGTTATGCGACAAAACGTAGGAATTTTCATTTTTAGACGCTAGTAGAACATACCTGCGTGCTTTGCGCTTAAGGCATGCAAAAGTCAACTAAGGAAAATTAAAATATGTTTTTAAATTTATCCACGAAATGATAACAAATTGATTGCGATATCAAACTTCAAAATTCACCGACTGGTTTAGGAGAGTTACAGAAAGCAATGAACATACATATGGCAGTCTGGCTAAAAAATCTGACGAAGGCAAAGATAGATATCGTATCTCACACTTCAAAATCCGTTAATCCATTAAGGCTCTCTGAAGTAAAACATACATACGTACACTCAAAAAAATAACTATGGGCATGACTATGGTTCTTACGGCCCAACGATTTGACAAAATACGACGAAAAGCAAAAATAAAATTTTTCGGTATCTCGCTTGGTTTCCGAGATATCGATCCTAAAAAATTATTTTTTACACAGGAATAATAACCCAAAGTTACTTCTGCAACGGCTTCGGCGCTGCGAGAACTGCAACACCTTCGCCCCTGCGTAGCAAAGCGCAGGCACCCATGCTCACCTCCGCAGTTTTGGGTTATAGGTCACCTTCGGCGACCAACCTTAGCCGCTACGGCTCGTGCAGATGTCTGCTATTTGCTACAGTGGGCGGGGGCTGCTCTCCCTCCACGCCTAGGGCTTTATAAAAACACTAAGGTTAGGGCAGACAATACTACGTGGAGTCGGGGCGTGCCAATTTGGTTTTAGTATTCGTTTTTTGAATTATCTCGGAAACCAAGCGAGATATCGAAAAATTTTATTCCGTAGGAACCGTAGATGCCCCCAACTAGGATTGAAAACATACATACTTACGAGGAAATGTGTTCAAAGTATATTTCAAGGCATATCCCATTTCGAAAATGGAAAACACCTAGTAGAAGATAGAGAAGCGAAGAGATATCTAGAACTAAATCCAACTGTATGACTCATGCTAATAAAACTCACAGTTTGTCAAGCTATTTAACTCACCAGGCGCTCTGCACCAAGTATTAGAAGGCTTGTCGGTCAGCACACTGAAACCAGTGATGTTATAACGGGTACTGTCATACATATTCTGTATGCGGTTCGCGATGCCCGGCCCGCACGTGTCGTTATACGTACAACCGCAATCGTTGTAGTACGTGAGATTTAAGTATTGAATCAGTCCATCGTCGTTTACGCCTACCTGCAGGTAAAATACAAGATCGTCAGATTATTATTACATAATAATTAGTTCAGTTTTAGCAAATCAACACGTTATATTGCAATTTGCTAAGGGTATTAAAATTTGCTGCCATGCTCGGAAGTGAAGTAAAACTTACGGAGACCTACATCCTACATTTATAAGAAATAAGAAAATATAAAATATTTTAAAGCCTAAAACCGTCTCAGAAATAGGGGTTGCCACCCGTACTATATATTAAACTATTGTGCGTTATTTCAGACAAACGTACTTTATCGTTTATGAGAACAGTAGTAACAGTAGTGAATTTATTTACTCAATTAGTTGGTTATACATATTATACTCAACAAATATAAGAAAATGTGTTATGGTGACTATCGATAAAAATAATTATTTATCTTTACTAAGATATTAATTGCAAAGGTAAACCTCCAATTTATGCAAATTAAATGCAATAATTTTTTCTACCCTTTAAACATAATAAAAAATGAAAATTTGACAACTAACTACCCTCATTGTAAAGGCTATTGAATAACCTTTTATGCGATATATATATATATATATATATATATATATATATATATATATATATATACATATATATATATATATATATATGTGTGTGTATCGAATCGATGTGTTCCATAATACTAAAAATAACCATAATGTCTGAAAAGGGGAAGTGGCTCGATTTATTTGCTCCCAAGTTGTTCGTGCAAAACACTTTCAAGGATTGACGCGAGAGGGCGCTCGGCGCGGTGCATTCATACCGGTTTGACTTTCGGTCGTGCGAAAAACGCCCAAGGGCAGTCAATCGTCTGTAAGCGGCGCTGACGTGAGCACGCGGTCAATTCTGTTAGGGAACTCGGAATAATTAGGTGCGGCCCGTAAATATACGGTCTAGGATTTTGTGACGCGTATTCCTGCTGGAGAGCTTCCCGGGACTTCTTGGGTCCGACTCAGAATCTGCATAATTGCATTCGGCAATATTAGCTAGTGCGGCCTCTGATATTCTAGATCTAACTGTTGCAACGCGAAACGGTAGTGACCTTTGATCCTGTAAACTCCGTGTGCGTTTTGTGAGTTAACCTTATACCCAGCGATAGTTAGTGGCTTCTGTAAGTTAGTTAATCGTACGATAGAGTTAATTGACTGTCAACGTGACGAAGGAAGAAAGTGACTGTGGGCAACTTCGGAAGGCCCCCTCAAGTTGGAGCGATGTCGACGCTCGGGCTGCTGCCGACGGCCAAGGTCTAGGTTCAATCACCATCAGTCACACCCAGATACACATCACATCACTTATTTCCCTTTCACTACACAACCACATGTGACCTGACCGACTCCGGAGGGACCAGTCGCCTTGGATGTAGGTAAGTAAGCTCCGCCTAATTCCTCTGCCGGTCGACTGGCCGTAGTATAGAACGCGCCCCCATATATTTTAGTGTGATTCGAGAGATTCCACGTGGCCACGTTGAGGCTCGACCTACGTCTGCTCGGGAAGTCTTCAGCTCATGGGCCCCTGAGGATCTGATCCTTTAAGGGAGCAGCCGTAGGCCGTAACACAAGTATGTTGTAGTTTCATTTCGTTTTTAACTATAGAATAACCAAGAATGTCTTTCTTGGTTATTCTATAGTTAAAAACACGATATTTACAATTTCACACGATCATAAAATATTAAAATTCCGCTGAAAACAATAACCTCCAAGGCAACCCTTGCCACGCTATTATCTCGAGACGGCGAAGCCAGCGTTGTTCTTTTTGACTGAGACCCAGGTATCCTCTCCGGCTGATACTTCGTATCTTTCCTATCCTGGGTACAAATTGGAGCAATCCTTGGTGCCTCGGACTGGAGTTTGCGTATATGTACGTCAGAGAGGACATCTGTTCTCGACGGCTCAACAGTCTTGAAGGTTCGGACCTGTCCATCCTTTGGCTACGAGTAGACAGCGACGACCATCCGCACGTCTACGGGTGCCTCTATAGGTCCCATAGCGGTAATGCCGAAACAGACCGACTCTCGAACACGACAAATGGCTACAGATTCCTTGCTAAAACAGGTCCCATCCACAGAGATCGTGATCCTTGGCGATTTTACCGCCCACCACACCGAATTGCTCGGTTCACGTTTAACCGATCATGCGGGGTGATCTGTTTATGACTTCGCCTTGGCATATGGTCGGACATAGCCGCTTACTTCGCCTACGCGGATTCCAGATGTGAAGGATCATACACCTTCATTGATGGACCTTCTGCTAACCTCTCATCCGGACGGATATTAGGTTTCTGTCGATGGCCTTCTCGGCTCTTCGGACCATTGCCTGATCCGGAGTGTGGTGCCACTCACGCTCCCCTCGCGGTTGCGTTCTTCAGGTTGCCACGGTGTTTGGCATTACAGGTCGGCGGATTGGGACGGAATGCGGTATTTCTTCGCGTCCTACCCATGGGCGCGAGTTTGCTTCTCACCGGATGCTCCCAGCGCTGTTGCTGACTCTGTCACTGATGTGGTGCTACAGGGAATGGAACCATTTATTCCATCATCTGTGGAACCCATCGGAGACAGATCTCAGCCTTGGTTTGGCCATTCCTGTAAGACTGCAGTACGCAGTAAGCAGCAATGTTATCAGGCCTGGGATGAGGCTTCGGCGGCTCGGGGTGTAAACACCAGCATGATTAAAAAAGTATAACTTCACCTCCAGGTACTTCAAAAGATTTATATATAGCTAAAGCAAAGTCAGAGCACATAGGCAAAATTGGCGAGAAACTAGTTCGCCTTCCTTCGGGAACTCGTGCATTTTGGTCTCTCGCCAAGGCTGTCCAAGGGAATTTCTGTAAGCCATCACTACTATCTCTGCACAGGGAGGACGACTCACTGGCCCACGCCGTAAAAGAGAAAGCCGACCTTTTAGGCTACCTTTTTGCGTCCAACTCGACTCTTGATGACGGGGGGAATACACCACTGACCATCCCGCGGTGTGAGTACTCCATGCCGGATGTGCGGTTCTCACAGCACTCGGTTTGCAAAGCACTCCTCTCCTTGGACATCCACAAGTCGAGTGGGCCTGACGGAACCCCCCCAATTGTGCTGAGGACGTGTGCTCCGGAGTTGGCACCGGTTCTAACGCGTCTTTTCCGGTACTCCTACTCCATAGGCATAGTTCCGAAATCATGGAAGACAGCTTTTGTCCACCCGATCCCTGAACAAAGCGACCGCTCAGACCCGTCCAACTACAGGGCTATCGCCATCACCTCCTTCTTCTCCAAAATAATTGAGTCCATCATAAACTGCCAACTCATGAGGTAACTTGAAGATCACCAGCTAATTAGTGACCACCAATACAGTTTTGGTCTACCTGACATTGCGAAGATCTTCGATCGGGTTTGGCACAAAGCGTTTCTTTCGAAGCACCCCTCCTTTGGGATTCCCGAAAAATTGTGCAATTGGATCGCCAGCTTCCTTGCAGATCGGAGCAGTTGTAGATGGTGCATGCTCCGACTACAAGCCCATTAACGCTGGTGTTCTACAAGGCTGCATGCTATCACCAACGCTGTGTCTTTTGCATATCAATGATATGTTTCAAACCGGTAACATTCATTGCTATGCGGATGACAGCACTGGTGATGCTCTATACGCCGGCCGTGCCAATATTTCTCGAGAAAACGTCGCCGAGTACCGAAACGAATTTATGTTTGAAGTCGAGTCTTTGCTGAACAGAATCTCGGATTGGGGGCTACTAAATCTAGTCCAGTTTAATCCTCAGAAGACACAAGTTTGCGCGTTTACCGCTAAAAAGAACCCCGTTGTCGTTACTCTTCAGTTTCATCTCATTTCATCAGGCACTCTCCTTTTTGCCTCAGACAGTATCGGAATTATCGGCGTCGACATATCGAGTAACGTGTAGTTTCGTGGTCACTTGGAAGAGAAGGCCAAATTGGCCTTTAAAAAGCTTGGCGTGCTCAGCAGAGCGGGAAAGTATTTCTTGCCGATACAACACCTGCAACTTTACAAGGTGCAGGTTCGGCCTCCCATGGAATACTGTTCCCATCTCTGGGCAGGGGCTCCTCAGTGCCAACTCCTTCCACTTGACCGCGTCCGACGTAGAGCGGCTCGAATCGTCGACGACTGAGTCCTTTCTGACCGGCTCGATTTATTGGCGCTGCGATGAGATGTTGCATCCCTTTGCATTTTCTTTCGCATTTACCACGGGGAGTGCTCTGAGGAATTGTTTGGATTAATCCCAGCCGCCAAATTTTACGAACGCTCATCGCAGCAGAACTCCCGATACCATCACAATTCGGCTTCCGTCAGAATCTATCTACGGAAGACGCAATTATAGCACTGACTTCCCGTACGGTAAACCATGTTGATTACGGAAGAAAATGTCTAGCTGTCTTCTTAGATTTAAAAAAGGCCTTCGACACAGTTTCCGTCCCTATTCTACTACAAAACCTTAACAATCATGGTGTTAGAGGTATTCCGCTAAAACTTCTTGGTGACTATCTCAGCAATCGTAAAACTCGTGTCAAAATCGGCTCAATAACTAGTTCTGAGGCTACTGTCACATATGGTGTCCCGCAGGGCAGTGTGTTGGGTCCCACTTTGTTCTTGGTCTACATCAATAGTTTGTGTAATATGCAGATAGAGGGTGGTGACATCTTCTCATATGCGGACGATACAGCTATTGTTTACTCTGCTAATGATTGGCAGCAACTTAAAAATCGTGTGGAGACTGGCTTAGTAAAATTAGGATCCTGGTTAAACAAAAACCTACTCACTTTAAATTTACTTAAAACTAACTATATATGTTTTACCAAATACAACAACTCGCAGCCCCCAGATTACTTTAATATTAAGCTACATTATTGCAATAATCACTCGGTCTCGGATTGCTCTTGTCCTGAGTTAAAAAAGGTTTCTAATACGAGATACCTTGGTGTAATGTTGGATCAGCGATTGTCCTGGCATCAGCATATAGAGCAACTCACAAGCAGAGTTAGGAAATTAATCTGGTCATTTAAGACTCTGCGACACGTGGCTCGACTGGACCTTCTACGTAAAATCTACCGCGCACTTGCCGAATCAGTTATTACCTACTGCATATCAGTTTGGGGAGGTGCGATAAAAACTAGTTTCTTAAATCTGGAAAGAGCACAAAGAGCTCTTCTGAAAGTAATGTTCTTCTTACCATATAGATCCCCAACTGATAACTTATATCTGAATAGTGGTATCTTATCTGTAAGAAAGTTGTACCTACTACGCATTGTCACTAGAAAGCACAAGTCGATTTCCTATGACCCAAAAAAAAGCAATCGTAGGACGATCGTTAATGTTGTTCCACAGCCTCGGGTTAGATCGGTATTTGCAAAGAGGCAATATAACAGTCAGTCTGCTTACATATATAATAAACTTAATAAAAAACTCAACATTTACCCTCTATCACATATTGAATGTAAAAAGACACTAGAGAAATGGTTAATCACAAAAAACTATGAAGAAATTGAGAGTGTCATTCATCACCCATAAGCGCAACTGAGTGCTATGCAACTTTTGGTGACAGTTAGAGAAAGTTATTCATTGAACAATGATAACTTCTGATCCCAAGACACAGTCGTAGGGCTAACAAACCAACAAACGAATATGTGTAATATTCCACACTATAATATATAATTCACAAAGATACATATTCTATACATACATGCACCATGCACCATACATGCACCCACATGCACACATATAACATACACGCACGCACAAACACACACACATACACACACACACACACACACACACACACACACACTTTTTTTTTTTTTATAATTTTATAATTTAATAACTAACTTTCTATTAGTCTTTGCCTTAACTTAGTGTTGTATACCCACTGTTTGGAAGAGTGGTGCTTCCTAGTACAAGCAAATCCTTTGCTTAAAAGGAAGCTCCAACCACAATTTGATGTAATAGATTAAGTTATGGAATAAAGAATTTGAATTTGAATTTGAATTCACACCATCTGGACAGTGCACCACTGTGCGATTTAGAAGATGTTTTCTTCATGGCACAATTTCCTTGTGTAATCGATTACCACCAGCGATTTTCCGGACCGATACGACTTAGGGTTTTCAAGAAAAGAGCCTACTCCTTTTTAAAAGGCTGGTAATGCATCTGCAATTCCCCTGGTTCCTCTGGTGTTGCAGTTGTTCATGGGCGGCGGTAGTCACTTACAATCAGGCGAGCCGTATGCTCGTTTGCCTCCCCTCCTATAAAAAAAACCTTAATATATTTTGGTTGCTTTGTTTCAAAACATTTTTTATTTTATTTAATACTACCCGCTAATTAGCTTCAGTTTTCAGTAGCCCGCCTGGCGTCTACAACGTAGAATCCGCGCTGCTTTTACTGTCTTACTGCGTTTCCCCGATAATCGATCGAAATGTTGGTTGTATTAGGTACTAGTATTAATAATTAAACTGTAAATACTTGTTGTTTTAAGTTGCATAATGTGTTAATAATACATTATGCAACTTATACAAATTTTTACTATAGGAATATTTATTTTTTAAATATAATAATTTGAACTATGCGTACATGCGCCTCGCTGCGCGGGGAAGTAGGTAGGTCCTATTGCGCACGAATATCTTGGTTTTAAGAATCAAAAGAGGCAGATAGACACGCATGAGGACAAAGATGGAATGCGTCGCTTCTAGAAAAAGGTGCAAGTGCAGGTCGCAGGCGAACCTCTTGCCGATGGCGGCCATGTTGTGTCGGAGCGGCAGCACGAGCGAGGCGGGGCGCTGCTGCCACCAGCGAGTGTATCGTGTGTGCGTGCGTGTATGCGTGTGTGCATGAGTACCTCGTAGTGCAGGTCGCAGGCGGACCTCTTGCCGATCGCGGCCATGTTGTGCTTGAGCGGCAACACGAGTGAGGCGGGACGCTGCAGCACATTAGCAGCCAGCGCACACGCACACGCAACCAGCGCCGCGGGTGTCCCCTTGCCGCCGTACGCCCCACCCACCCGGGAAACCGATACCTCCACACTGCGAGCACAAAGTTTACATCGTCAATCTAACAGTTCAGTCGGAACTACTTACATTTAATTGTTTCTATACATCTTGCGATTTTATCAAATCGACAAAAGTGTTATATTATATCTTTAATTGCATATTGTATCCCATTCTGCTTATGAAAAAGGAACTTAGGGCCATACATAGAATTTTCTGTTTCATCATCCCGTGAAGTCCATTGCTGGAAATGGGTGTTTTTACGTGGTAAAGCCATGCTGCAGCTATATTAGTAGTATAGTTGTAGCACGAATGGGTCAGCTCGACCAGGGAAGGACCATGCTCCCACAGAATACCACCGCAAAATAGCAGCTGAATGCTGCTGTGTTTCGTATGTTGAGTGTAGAGAACCGGAGACGTTTTTTTACTGGAAACTCGCATCTGCATTTTGATTTGTAATTGAGGATCACAGACATCTACATCTAGATGTCTGTGCGCCGCAGCAACCACTTACCATCAGGTGGACTGTTTGCTCGTTTGTCAGCCTTATTCTATAAATAAATGGGCCTCTCCCGTTGTGGGGAAGATTTGCCTTAATTGTCACACATGGTAGGCGGATTTATAACCGCAGTGCCAGAATTTTTGTACCTTTAACTCCACTTCCTGCCGCCAATCAGAGTAATTTACGCCTGGGGGAAAGAAGATGGTAATACAGCCATCTATCTGAAGCCATAAGATCTTTTATGGATATTCCATACATGGACGCGAGATGAAATAAAGTGACTAATGAGGGCATCCACGACTTTTTCTGCCCCCAGGACGGGGCGCTAATTTGGAATGGCGTTAAATATTTAACAGGTTTTATAGCGTTATATAGGAAAGTTAATCTGTTAGAAAAGTGTAGAGACTAATGTTTTTTTCTCAAATATTACTATTATTATATTTTAATTAGATTAGAAATGAATTAACTAAATTATGGTTATTTCTAAAAGTAGCAAAATTAAAAATGTGTAATAAATTTAATGCACGACACACACGATCATTTAAACTGATCAGTTAAACTGACGTACATCCGAAATCAGACCGTGAATGTGAAATGACATTTACTTACTACTTATGTTGACATTTTTAACTAACAGCGACCGACAGATTTTTCCGGGCGCATCGTAATCCGGTGGCTTCAGCTGTTCATTTTTATCACGCCAAACTATGTGTGCGCGTGCTTTCATCAGTTTGCCGTCAGTCAGAGCTAATAACGCTAGTGAATTTTTGAATTAATTGGACCGGGGACGCCCTGATGTGTCAGAAAATATTAACAATTGTTCATAATTATTGCGAAGTATTGCAAAAGGCGATTATAATAATACATTGACTTACTCTTTGGTTTTTAAGTCTAACTCTAATAAATAGGACATACAAAAAATAAACATATGTTTACGTTAAATAAAAGACTGATTGATTGAATAGATATAAATAAAGAAATTGTCTATATACTTAAATTTTATTATTCTACCCAGTAGTATCTACCCTAGTTACACCTAAAATATATGTACTCTTAAGTGGCCGCTCAACGTGGGACCCCATTCCCTTGAGGTGAGCGGTAGACTCAGTAGACCTCAATAGTGTTTCCCAACGGATAGGTCTTAAGATGAACATGGACAAAACAAAGATCATGTTTAATGTCCATGTCACACCTATGCCGGTAGTTATTGGGAACACTAAGCTCGAAGTTGTTGACGAGTATGTTTACCTGGGACAAATAGTCCGACTAGGTAAGTCCAACTTCGACCGAGAGGTCAATCGACGGATTCAACTCGGCTGGGCAGCGTTCGGGAAGCTCCGACACATCTTCTCGTCAGACATACCTCAAAACCTTAAAACGAAATTGTACAACCAGTGCGTGTTGCCAGTGATGACTTACGGAACTGAGACGTGGTCCTTCACTGCTGGCCGTATGAGAAAGCTCAAGGTCGCTCAGCGAGCTATGGAGAGGGCTATGCTCGGAGTTTCTCTGCGTGATAAACTTAGGAATGAGGATATCCGCAGTAGAACCAGAGTAACCGACATAGCCCAACGGATTAGTAAGCTGAAGTGGCAGTGGGCCGGCCATATAGCTCGAAGAACCGACAACCGATGGGGAAGAAAGGTTCTCGAGTGGCGGCCTCGTACCGGTAGGCGAAGTGTAGGGCGTCCCCCCACGAGATGGAGTGACGACCTGGTAAGACATGCAGGAAGTCGATGGATGCAGGTGGCTCAGGACCGTGCTTTGTGGCATTCTTTGGGGGGGGTCTATGTTCAGCAGTGGACTTGTGAAGGGCTGTAATGATGATGATGATAAATGATGAGCGGTAGACTCATGACACACTCTACGACTAGTAGCCGTGCTGATCATGCAATTGGTGGAGATGCACTTACATCACGTCTGCAGAAGCGGTGGTCTGGCAGGTGGTGGCGTTCACGGAGGGCTTTTGGCCAGTATGCCTATTATTCGACGTGTTGCCTAAACCGTGTGACGTAAATTCACTGTGGCTGGATTTGATCGTATTCTGTATGGCGTTTACACGCATTGACATGCGCGACTTTGGTCAATATTTGTGCTTAAGCACTACCACGGGGCCAAGCCCTCTTTTACGGGTTTGTCAGTTATTTTGCTGTGGACTTACGGTCCAGTTCCCAATTTAACGTCCCTCTTCGAGAGAAGCGCGTTGGTTGGTTGTCTCTCATCGCACACGGCGTGTATGGAGCCGTCTGCATCTCACACATTTTTTTTAAATGTGGAAGAGCGAAGCCTTTGTATCTGGTATTTTAAATAAATGTTGTGAAATGATATGATAAGGATATAGAACTACGAGTGAACGCAGGAAATAGAGTGAATGGGGCTCTACACGCTATTATGAGGAGTCAGAATGTATCAAATAAGGCACGTATAGTAATTCATAATGCTGTGTTAGTCCCTACTTTAATGTATGGTAGTGAAAGTTGGGTCTGGCAGAAGAAGCATGAGAGTAGAATAAATGCTGTAGAAATGCGGTCCTTAAGGAGTATGTTAGGACTGAATCTGAATGACAGGGTGAGAAATAGTGTGATAAGACAAAAGTGTGGTTTGCAAGATGGCTTTGTGACAAGGATTAAGAATGGAATGCTTCGGTGGTTTGGTCATGTAGAAAGAATGAACGAGGAAAGAGTGACAAAGCAAATTTATGTTGCAGAAGTGAAGGGCAAGGTCGGGAAGGGACGCCCTAGACGAAGGTTTTTTTTAGAATAAAATAGAATAGAATGATTTTTATTCAATATGGATTATTACATAATACTTATTGAAAGTCATTATTTTATTTACCACTGGTTCGGAAAATACCTTTGTCCTGGGAAGAACCAGCAAGAAACCCAGCGGGACTTTTTTTTAAACATAATTTCACTTAACAATAATTTTGTTTATACAATTTTAAATGAATTTTCATAGGACCAGCATGGTGGCGATCACCTTATTCCCAGGGGTTATTTTCATTTATGTATTCCTTGATATTATAATAACCCTTTTTGTACAGTTTTTCTTTAATAAAACTTTTAAACTTGTTTATTGACAAACTTTGAACATGTTCTGGGATTTTGTTGTAAAAGCGTAGACATTGCCCCATAAATGAATTACTAATTCTGTGGAGTCTAGTAAGTGGCATTACAAGCTTATGTTTGTTCCTAGTGTTTAAAGTATGAACAGCCTTATTCTTATTAAAGCTATTTATGTTTTTAAGTACATACATTACATTTTCATAAATATATTGCGATGCCAAAGTTAACATTAGATTATAAATCGCCCGTACGGCTCTCTTTTGTAAAACAAATATAGCTTCAATATCAGTCGCATTACCCCATAGCAAAATTCCATAACTGTCACAACATCTGTGAGACTTCTAATCTTTCTTACAGCATATGCTGCAGAACTAAGTCTGCTTGCTAATTTAAATATATGTGGGCCCCATTGAAGTTTCGCGTCAATAGTAACACCAAGAAAAACAGTGGTATCCACAATCCTCTCCATTTAAGAGCACATTGGTTTTCGAATGTTTTACATTAGGTATTGTAAATTTAATACATTTTGTCTTATTGCCGTTTAAGAGCAAATTGATGGCGTTAAACCAATGTACTAATTTCGATAGAGCATTATTTACATCGTCATATTTACTTGACTGCCGTTTCAGTTTGAAAATTAAAGAGGTATCGTCAGCAAATAATACTATATCGTGATTGTCCCCTACAAGATAAGGTAAGTCATTAATATAGATTAAGAACATGAATGGGCCAAGAATCGAGCCCTGAGGATCGCCTATTGATACTACCGATCCGGAGGAACATTTACCATTGATGACGACTTTTTGAGTTCTGTTACTTAAATATGAAGTAATAAGTCTATGCGCCAAATTTTTTACACCGTAATGTTGTAGTTTCCTGATTAATGTCTCATGATGAACACAATCGAAAGCCTTGGAAAGGTCACAGAAAATACCTAAGGCATCTTGTGAATTCTCCCAGGCATTAAAAATATGTTTCATAAGCTCAACACCGGCGTTAGACATCGAGCGACCCTTTTTAAAACCAAATTTATTTTAAGGAAGTAATTTATTTGTATTAAAAAAAATTAACAAATTGATCCAAAATTATTTTTTCAAAAATTTTACTGAGAGTTGGTAGTAGAGAAATAGGTCTATAATTAGCGGGATCCAGATTAGACTACCAGATTTAAATAAATGTATTACTTTACTATACTTCATTAAATCAGGAAACACACCAGAATCGATACAAGTATTAAAAATAATAGCAAGATGAGGTGCAATTAAATCTATTATGGACGCAATCACTGTAACGGTAATCCCCCACAAATCTGCGGTTTTCTTTACATCAATGGTTTTGAAGTATTTTACAATATTATGCGGTAATACTTTTTCAAATCTAAATTCTTTTAAACAGGTATTAACATTCT